CTCCCTCCCTCCCTCCCTCCTTCCCTCCCTCCTTTGCAGTGCTGGAAATTGAACCCAGATCCTTGAGCATACTAGGCAGTACTCTACCACTGAGCAATCCCATTTTACTTCTAGGTCTTACTTGGTGCCTCAAAGCCCTCTTACTTCTTAGACTTCATCTCCTGCCACTCTCCCTCGTTCCCTGAGGATTCTCAGAGACACCAAGTTCATTGCTGCCTCAGGGCCTTTATATGTATGGTTAACTCACTCTAAGGCTCAGGCTTGGCTCTTCCCATAGATGGGGCTTTATCTCCATTTGCTCAGATGTCCCTTCCTCAGAGACCTCTCTTGTCTTCAAACCAGTCTTGAGAGGTTCCCAGGCATCCCGTTACATCAGCCTGTTTGATTTTCTTCTTAATGCTTAGCACTGCTAGAAACTGTTTTGTTCTCTCTGTCATTTGTGCCTCTACCCACAAAGATGAGCTGCATGTATGAAAGGCTTGATTTGTTCTGCCTATGTGTTTAGTAGTCAAGAATTCTGTCTTCTACTGATAAATTTTGGGTGGTTTGGAGGGGTTGACTGGATGCTCAGGCCTGTCTGCTTGCTCTGCCACCACCCTCCTGACTTGGTGCCCTCTTCAAGGGCAGCAGTTAGCACCTCTAGTTAGCCAGTGAGAGTTTTAATCCATTTTTCTTAACTACTTAAGGTGAATGAGTAATCATCACTAATATATAAAACAATTTATTTAAAAATCTTGACTGCTTTTTCACAGGATTTCCAAATATATTGTTTTTCAGCTTAAAATAATTAGGCAGCTGTATCAGATCACTATGCCCATGACAAACACTGAAGGCCCCGAAGTAAGGGGGAAAAAAAAATTTTTTTTTTTTTTTGTACTGGGAATTGAACCCAGAGGTGCTCAACCACTGAGCTACATCCCCAGCCCTTTTTAATATTTTATTTAGAGGCAGGGTCTTGCCGAGTTGCTTAGGGCTTCTCTATGTTGCTGAGGCTGGCTCTGAACTCATGATCCTCCTGCTTCAGCCTCCTGAGCTGCTGGGATTACAGGTGTGCACCACTGTGGCCAGCAAAGAAAGAATTTTTAATGTGCATATAATTTCAAGTTTTTAAGCGTATTAATATAGTTTTCTCTTGTGGACTGCCGCTTTCCCCTAGCCACATGCACACTCCTACTGTTTCACTGGCTGGCTGCTTGGCAGACTTAACAGAGCTCATGTGGATATAGTTGAGTGTGTCTGGGACTGGACAAGCACCATCCTGCCCAAAGTGAGCATAGCCCAAGGATGTGTGCCTGCTCTGAAATACGGCTTGGGGTGCTAGGGCTTGTGGACAGTAGCAGGGCAGTGTCTAGACTGTCTTCCCAGGCCTGCTCAGCATACTCCAAGGAACCTAGCTAGCCTGCATGCCTTCTGGGCTGGAGAGAGCTAAGAAAACAGGCCCACCCTGTTTGAGATTGGGGCCTCTCTGTTCTCTAGTCTGCAAATCCCCTTGGCAGGGGCAACAGAAAGAGGGTTCAATGTGTGTCCAGGAGAGCTTACATGATTAGTGTGACCAGTGCAGAGGCCATGGCTAAAAGTCCAGGGCTTTCTTTGGTATGGTTAGTCCCTGTTCTTGGCACTGGTAATAGTGACACCTATGATTTTGGTGGCTCCGGGCTCCAGGCATAGGCTGTGGTTACCAACAGGTGGTTGCCCTGCATCCTCTCACTTAATACATAGGTCCCTGTGTGCCTTCCTCACAGGAGATTATACACACATGTGACATCCAGCTGCAGCCAGCGTCTCAGGGTAGGCACTAACTCTGTGGGGAGCAGTGGTCCCATCTTCAATACATCTAGTCTTGAATCCAGGTCACGGTCCCAGGGGCCAGAGGATGTCCTGTTACATCAGAAGAGCCTGACCTTCACTGCTGAATGGAATCAGAGGGGCCAAGTGATCAGCTGGACTTCCAAGAGTGCCCCACCCATCCCCTGGCTACTGAACTCTTGTCTGAGGCTCTCCCCTTGGAATCAGTCTCCTAGGGATGCCACCCTCCTTAGCAGCATTTTTGTTTTATTTTGTTTTTAGCAACATCCCATGCTTATAAAGGAATTAACTTTTCAGCTCTAATCAGGCATATTTGGATATTTTCTTAATATTTGCCTTAGTACTGAGCCAGGTAAACATTGTATAAAGGATACTGTCCACTCAGGGCTTATATTACAAAGTCACGGTGCAGAGTGTGTCCAGGACCTCCTGGGGTAAGCTTATATTCTGCAACTCACAGTCTCTGCTGCTGGCATGTGACACTGGGAGGAGAGACTCAAGTGAGAAGGCAGGCAAGAGGTGTGTGTGTGTGCGGGGGGCAATCAACAAAATCCCTCCTGTCTGCCCCTCCTGTTTTACTCTCTTTGAGACAGATTGCCTGCTCTAGGGGTCCTCTTCCCTTTCCCCTGACCAGTTTACCTGATCCCCTCCTAGAATGACACAGTAGACAGGGGGTGAAGACCTGTGGGGAACTCACACAGAGAGTCATCGGACATGGCTGAGATACAGAGATCATGGCCCACAGGGAAGCATCCACGGTTCAAGATAGCTGGCCAGGGGTAACCATAGCCAGCCGTGATGGGTGAGCAGCTGGCCTCCATTTCCTCACACAGGCTGCAGCACAGGTAGATGACCCTGCAGGGTGGGGAAAACAATTGGTGTGACTAGGCTGGTAACTGGGCACCCAGATCAACCTGGAACTTTCCATGGTTGCTTGACAACGACACTCTGATCACCTAGCAACAGCCCTGCAGCCTTGCTTTTCTACTTGTGCCACATTTCAGCCCTCAGCTCTGCCTCCCCACTTATCTGCCTGTAACCTAGCTTCTTTCCAGCTTTTGAAACTCCCTCTCCAGCTCCAAGGTTATCTAGTATCAGGTGAGGGATGTGGGAGGCCCTGCTCTCTGGCCTTCACCCCTCAGGTCAGAGGGAAAAAGCAGGGCCCTCCCTTTTGTCCTAAAAGACATTCAGGGCACTGCAGTCTCTGGACAGGGCTGGTGCTGGCACAGAGTGCAGGGGGCCCACCCTCCAGTTCTGAAAGAATCCATTCTTGTTGGTACTGACAGTCACCAGAGATTCCAGGAAGGACTTCCTCTGCTGGGTGGAGGAGCTGAGGTAATGTTCACAGGAAGGTTAGGCTGGGGAAGAAGAATTAGCCTTATGACCTCWGGGCTTTAGGAGAAAATGTCACAAGATGGATCTCAGCTCCATCTCTTGCCAGCATCTTGTGGGCAGATTAGAGCTTCCACATTTCCCTGCAAAGGGGCTCACAGACCCCAGCCTGAAGCATCCTGCCACTTGTCCCTGTCTTGACATTGAAGAGCCTTTTATAGGTTGTGGGTGTAGACTGAGGGACCAGCCCCACATGCCCACCATTGATGGTACCCTGCCCAGTGATGGTCACCTCTGTCCCCTGGGTACCTATTTCCGTCTACTGGGAACACTCATAAAAATAATTATTCATTTTCCTCCTTGCCCCTGTGAATAACCAGCAGTGACAGGTGCTCAGAGGATTAGTGAAGAGCTCAACTGCCAGAGCAGGCCCTGGCCAAGGACATCCTCCCCTCTATCTGCCCCTGCTCTACCTGTCAAGGCACACAGGGGCAAAGAGGGAGCAAAGGAAGAGGCCAGCATCAGGGTGGCACTCCTGGGCGAGCAGGGGCAACCTGCTGACTGTCTGTTTGATGGCCTCAGCTGCTGTGTCATGGTCCAGCAAGTTGGTCAACCGCCTCTCTGTGTAGCCAATGTCATAACATAGTTTCATTGCTTGGGGAATGAGCATGCTCTGTGTGTAGCTCCAGGGAGCCCCCACTGCACCATCATTCCACAGTACCACCAGCAGCTACAGTCCGCTCTCCATCACCTGCCTTCTCTATCCTGGCCCTGAGGTCCAGGGCTTTATAGGGCTGTACCCCCAAGGAACCAACAGAGGAGGAGGTCCTGCAGGTGTTTGCAAAGCTCCCAGGTACCTGCACGACCTGATTAGGCCACAACATACTGACTGGGCTGGCTGTTTTTGATTAGCACATGATGAAGGGAATAGAGACTGAAATCATCTCCACTAGGCCTGTGGATTTACTGGCACCTAATAAACTGAAGAAAACTCAGCCTGTGTTTTATTTTCCTTTTTGGCTTTCTTTCTTTCTTTTTAAATGTTATATGTTAAGCAATCAAGAGGTGACAATTAGCAGTTTGGTCTAACCCATTGTCCAGCAGTGCTGTCTCCCAATGGCTGACTCATACCTTTTCTGGGTTTGATGGTTTGAGAGTTATGCATGCCTGGGGGTGGGGGGGGGGCTTTGTTCTATCCTTAATGTTATCACATCTGAGATCATGTCACCTACCCCTGGGATTTGATCTGGACTTGAGCATAGATTCTGAGTAGAACAGCCCGGGTGGCCCTGGGCAAGTCTGTGCTTGTGATTTCTCACAGATTGAAAGGGTCAGTTAATGGGGCCTGGCTTTCAAAGATGAATATAGGGAACTAAGGAGTTGATGTATACAAAGTGCTTTAAGAGAGACTGTGCTGCCTGAGTGTGATCTGCTATGATCACTATTAAAAATCACTACCATCCTGTCTCTGAGAGACCTTTACCTTACCCTGGGCAATGACTGGAACTTCATGCTGGGAGTATGACTGAGAGAAGTGACAGACCACTCTGTAGATGGCAGATTGGCCCCTCCTCTAATCTGTTCTTTTGTGAACCTCTTGTTCCCCAAGGAAGTTCTCCTCCTAGGAAAAGGAGAAGGAAGCAGGACCTAGGCTTCTGACTTGAAAGTACCTGGGCTATTAGGTTGGGAACTTCCCAGATATAAGGCTTATATTGCAGTTCTACCAAGCCACCTACAAACTGTGGCCAGTGTGTGGACAGCCAGCCACTCCTAGGTCTCAAGCATGACTGATCTTTACTCACGAGCTTAGAGGCACAGAATAGGTGCTGAGTTACCCCCCACACACACATACACACACACACACACACACACACACACTCACACTCACACTCACTTCCCAGCACTAGGCAACTCAGCCCTGGTCAGATGACCAGAACCTACTTATACGGGAGAAGAGAGGACGAACATACACTATTGGATGTCTGGGCTTTGTTTGTTTTTATTTGAATAATGCTTGAAAGCAAGAGCCAGCCAGCATTTCTCTGCTTTAAATATACATACCTGATGTAAATTGGGCATGGTGGCTCACACATGTAATCCCAGCAACTCTAGAGGATAAGGAAGGAGGATCACAAGTTGGAGGCCAGCCTAGCTAGGCAATTTAGCAAGATCCTGTCTCAAAATAAAAAATAAGCCAGGTGCAATGGCTCATGCCTGTAATCCTAGCAGCTCGGGAGGCTGAGGCAGGAGGATCCAGAGTTCAAAGCCAGCCTCAGCAAAAGCAAGGCACTGAGTAACTCAGTGAGACCCCGTTTCTAAATAAAATACAAACAGGGCTGGGGATGTGGCTCAGTGGGTGAGTGCCCTTGAGTTAAATCCCTGCCCACCTCAATAAATAAATAAATAAATAAATAAGAAAGGGTATAGGGATATAGCTCAGTGGTAAAATACCTCTGGGTTCAATCCCCAGTACCAAATAAATAAGTAAATATTCCCAGTAAGAAGAGGTTAACCCTCTGCCCTTCAAGTCCACTATCTGGCCTTTAGTTCCACTCCAAGGTGGGTCAGCCCGTATCCATTTTAGCTATAGCCTGCTCCCAGTAACCCCCCTGGAAAATGTGTGCTGTCATCATCAACAAAAGAGGCCCCGCATTCCAATGCTGGCCAGCCTTTGCAACCACCAGGGGACAGAGAGGACCCCTGAAACCCTGCAGGGAGGAGGATACTCAGTGCACAGTGCCCCAGCTCAGTCCTTGGCTTCACTCACCTCCTCTTATGGCAGAAATTCCTGGCTTCCTGAGTGACGAGGAGTGTCGGCTCATCATCCATCTGGCACAGATGAAGGGATTACAGCGCAGCCAGATCCTGCCCACTGAAGAATATGAAGAAGCAATGAGCAGTATGCAGGTCAGCCAGCTGGACCTCTTCCGGCTGCTGGACCAGAACCACGATGGTCGCCTGCAGCTCCGAGAGGTTGGGATCCTGGGGCCTGAGTAGGCACAGGGAGGGAGTTCCTAGAATTACCTTTCTGGTGGCCATGCCATTTGTCTGACTCAACTGGCCCCATACTCAGATGCCAACTCAGGCCTTCTTGGGCATGCCCAGTCCCAGGGTCACTCTTTCCTCTCCATAGAGTCCCTACTACGCTGGAAACCCCAGAGGATTGCAGGAGGATCCACATGGGGGTGATGGCATTTATCACCACAGTTTGGAATGGTATTTCTTTTGTGGTCTGGATTCCTTGCTGCCATGGCTAGAAACCCATTATGGTGGATGGGGTTGGCAGCTCTGATGTAGCCAGCAGCCTGCATCTCTCTTCACGTGCCTCTCACACCTGGGCTTCTGAGAGAAATCCAGCAGGGTGTGTGTTGGGGGGTGGGGTATTGGTCCATTGCTCACACAAAGCACTCCACTGAGTCTGGTCTTCCTGAGGGTTCTGGTGGTGATCATGTCCTGGACAAGTCTCCCCCTGTTGCCTCTTCCCTCTTTATAACCAGACCTTTGGTTCTCCCTTCCTCCACATTACCTGAGGTATCTGAGTGTGATACAAGGCCAACAGTGCTCCCCTGAAGGCCAGAGTCCCAGCAGGGCTGGGTATGCCAATGGTCCTCATGCCTCTTGACCCTTTTCCTGGCTTCCTCAGATATCTCTGGACCTCTCTTCAGCCCAGGGACCTTGGGCTCTGTCCTGAGTCCTCACCCATGCCCTATTACTGCAACCCTTAACTCCATAAGAACTGGTCCTTTTATGCTCTGATGGCTCTTTACCCCTAGGGACACCCCACTGAGGGACCCTCTTATACATCAGGTACTGGCCCAGACTCGCCTGGGAAATGGACGGTGGATGACTCCAGAGAATATTCAGGAGATGTACTCCGCGATCAAAGCAGATCCCGATGGTGATGGTGAGCTCACATCCCTCCACAGTTCTATCCCTGTGAGCCACCTCCTTTCCCCAGACTATGACAGTCTAAAGGGCAGCTCCTAGAGATCATTTTGACCTTATCAGGCAGAGTTTATAGAGTCTGGGGCACAGGAAACAGGACTCCTAGTTGGGAAATGGCAAAGTGAGTAAAGTGGAAGCAAGGAGACATGAGGGCAGCTTGATTTTTTCCATTCACCCTGCTCCATCTGCCTTTCCAGGCCTCCCTCATCTCACTGAGGCCTCTCTCCCTTCCTTTTGCCCATCTGGAGTTTTAATGGAGCACTGAAGTGGTAGTGTTACTAATTTTCTAACTGCAAGGAGCATGGGGCAGCAACCAAAAGAGATTTCTGAGGTGTAGTCTTAACCCGTATGCCCAAGTTATGGACCAGCTGAGGAAGAGATAGAGCAGTCAAATAGGTCCTGGAAGAACAATCTTGTGACTGGTGAACAAAAGGTCTTGGAAGAATAGCCTGTGGCTGGAGGGTTGTCATACTCTTCCTAGTATAGAAATGGTGTCAGATTCACAGTGTTTGGATGTTCCCCATCTTCAGGGGAATCTAAGCCAAAGGGTGGAAGTTATCTCCCTTGGGTCAGCTAGAATAACCTGGAGCAAAGACACCAGATCCAGAACCCCAAGAATGTGGGGCCTCTGCTTTCTGATTTGGGCAAGAACAGGGAGAATGTTCTCATTTGGAGGACATGGCCTGGCTTTCTTTGCTAAGGTGAGCTGGTAGTTCAGCAGGCAAGACTGGCTAGGTTGGTTCCACCCAGGATGGGACCTGAGTTCATGAAGGTTTCCCTGGGGACTTGCCCTGCTTGCACCCTACCACGTGGGAGGCCCTGGGTGGACTCAGCACTTTGCTGCTCTCTTCACCTTCTACAGGTTGGAGTATGGCCACCACACTCTATATGGCCAGGCTGGAAGGCATAGGGTGACTCATGGGCTGAGGTCCTGGCCATGTGGCTCAAGTTCCTTTGGAGACCCCACTCTGGCACTCTAATGGGTGTTGAGATTCTTCCTTTTGGGAGCCAAATCAAGGCTTAAACTGAGAAAATGAACTTCTCTGGGTCTTCCCTTAGGGCCCGATGTGACAGAAACCAGGTTCATCTGACCCAAGAGTCCAGGTGGGGACAAGTGCACATGGCCCCCAGTGCCTGAGGCCAGGGGCTGCTGCTGCCTTTGGGGTAGGTAGGGAGGTGCTGCCTGCCACTGTGGTCCCCCCTCATGGGCCTGGCAGGCACTAATGGTGGGTGCCCTGTACAGGAGTGCTGAGTCTGCAGGAGTTTTCTAACATGGACCTTCGGGACTTCCACAAGTACATGAGGAGCCACAAGGCGGAGTCCAGTGAGCTGGTGCGGAACAGCCACCACACATGGCTCTACCAGGGTGAGGGTGCCCACCATGTCATGCGTGCCATCCGCCAGAGGTGAGCACTGAGGCCATTTTCCCTGGGGCAGGGTCTCCACATAAATCCTTGGAGGGGGCTAAGAGAACAGAATTGATTAGCCAATGGGGATTAAGTTCTACTTGTTAGACCAAGAATGGGACCCACTGAAAGGCAATTAGTAAAGGCAAATTATCCCCAGTGTGGGAAAACAATGTACATATGGGATTAGACATAAATCAAGTTTTTGTTTTCTGCTAATTAGAAAAATGACCCCTTATCTTTGCTCATAGTAGCCCTGCCCCTGAACCAGMAGGAGTTTTAGATAAATAACCTCCTTCTTGAGAGGACTTCAATTTTCCCCATCCCCCCAATTTTGTGAAAATCTCATCTTTCCCAAATAGTGGATGGCATTTAGGAAAAAGGGTTCATCAAGAGTAGCTCCTTCCTGCTCCTGTAAAGCCAATCTTACATGACTCTTGGAGCTGAGCATGGTAGCACACACCTCTAATCTGAATGATTCAGGAGACAGAGGTAGGAGGATCACAAGTTCAAGGCCAGCCTCTGCCTCTTAGGGAGACCCTCAGCAACTTGGTAAGACCCTGTCTCAAGAAATAAAAAGGACTATGGATGTAACTCAGTGGTAAAATGCCCCTGGGTTCAATTCCCAGTACAAAACAAAAACAAAAACAAAAACAAAAAACATGGCTCTAGGGCTTCCATGGGAGGTGGGCAAGGGTAGAGCTCGTGGCAGGTCTTGGCTAGCTCCTTTAGGTTACCACCTTACATGGTGCTGCCCAGCCAAATACCTGCTACTCACCAGGGTGCTGCGCCTCACTCGCCTGTCACCTGAGATCGTGGAGCTCAGCGAGCCACTGCAAGTTGTGCGGTATGGTGAGGGAGGCCACTACCATGCCCATGTGGACAGTGGGCCTGTGTATCCAGAGACTATCTGCTCCCATACCAAGCTGGTGGCCAACGAGTCGGTACCCTTTGAGACCTCCTGTCGGCAAGTACCTCCCACCTGGGGGCTGGCTTCAATTCCCAAATCAGGCATCCTCATAACACTGGCACAGCTTGACACTATGGACCTGACTCTTAGAATGGAGTCAGGAAGGCACTTGGCCATCCTGGTCAATGATGCTCTTAATCTCTTCCCAAAGTTGTTTACCAAATGACAGAAAAAGCTGGCTACTGGCCATTTTGTCCGCTTGAGTCAATGTAGACTAAAGTATCCAGAGACACCAAAACTTGCTCCCAAAACTTTGAAGCAAGGAACAATGCTAGGCACTCAGCTCTTTCAATCTACTCCCCTAGTTATTGATCTTGACTCCACTGCTTGGAGGTCTTGGTCTCTTCTAAAGCTGTGTCCCTGCCCCTGCCAAGGCACAAAGTTAGGTCTCTCCTTTTCATGTGGCTTTCTGGCTCAGCCTTTTACAGTCCCCACAGAGACCTTGTGCATGATCTTCCTGCCTCTAATAGCTAACTTTCCGAGCCAGGCCCTTAGTCATGTAACTCAGCTATGTGTGATCTTGGCCAAAAAAGCATTGGCACACACAAAAAGAGACTGGGTTTGTGGAAAGAAGGAGGGGCTAGAGATACTCTGGCATTGGGTTACCCTGTTGTCATCCATCCTAGCCTGTCCCTCTGACCCCTGGGAACCTGGGTAGCTTTTCCTACCCACGAGTAAGCCCTTGGGAATGTCTGCAGCTAGGGACCTGCTCAGAAGCCCCCCTGCCTTACAGCTACATGACAGTGCTGTTTTATTTGAACAACGTCACCGGTGGGGGCGAGACTGTCTTCCCTGTAGCAGACAACAGAACCTACGATGAAATGGTAAGGGTCAACTGGGCTATTCTTGTGGGCTGGCAGGGCCTTGGGCAAGTGTAGTACACACCCCTCCGGTCCTGGGATGAAAGCCTAAGTGGTCCCCTAGGCACATCTGATTGTTTTTCCTCTAGCCATCTTTGGCTGCCTGGCCATACAATGGGGGCCCCTCTGAAAACACCATCACCTTGCTGCCCACAGAGTCTAATTCAGGATGATGTTGACCTCCGTGATACTCGGAGGCACTGTGACAAGGGGAACCTGCGTGTCAAACCCCGGCAGGGTACAGCAGTCTTCTGGTACAACTACCTGCCTGATGGGCAAGGTGAGGGCCTATGGCTAGACCAGGGGATTATCTGAGGGAAGCTTCACTTTACCCTGCTCCTGTCTGCCACCCTGGAGAGCTGTTTCTGGCTGTCCTCCAAATGGTTTTCTGTCTTGGTGTCTCCCAAAGATCATTGTCTAGTTTCAGTAGGCCTCTCCAGCATCTGTGCAGCCTGTTGGGTTATCTCAACCCCTGTCATTCCCTGATGCCTCACCCTTCCTTCTTTCTTCACTCTGGAGCTGGAAACAAAAGTCTCACTAAACCAGGCTGGGAAGAGCTGTGGACAAGGCTCAGCAGCAAGAAAACTGGTTTCAGAGGGCCAGTGGTGTTTACTATAAATTAGTGGGGAAAGGGCCAAGGTATGCACAACTGGCCCTACCTTTGCCATGCTACTGGTCTTTAGCTCAGGTCAGCTCAGCCTAGAGTCCCTCCCAGCCTGTCCTTTCTCATGCAACGCTCCTTTCGTAGGTTGGGTGGGCGACGTGGACGATTACTCCCTGCATGGGGGCTGCTTGGTCACTCGCGGCACCAAATGGATAGCCAACAACTGGATCAACGTGGACCCCAGCCGAGCACGGCAAGCCCTGTTCCAGCAGGAGATGGCGCGTCTGGCCCGCGAAGGTGGCGCCAACTCACAACCTGAGTGGGCCCTGGACCGGGCCTACAGTGATGCGCGCGTGGAACTCTGAGGGGAGGGTCAGTCCCAGCCCTCAGTTGCGGGTCTCACCCAAAGTCGCTGGTGCCCAGCTGGTCCCCATGTACTGCTTCAGATTCAAGTTCTGGCCGATGTCTTGTCCCACCCCTGCCTCCAGCCGCGATTACGGCGCAGAAAGTATATTCTTGTTATTTATTGTGTACAGCTCCTATGCTGCTCAGTCAAATAAAATCACAGGGCTTCGAGTTGCCTGGCCAACAAGCTCCAAGTCGGTGTGGGGGGTTGGGGGAGACGCCACCCGCTACCCTGCCAACGTCATGTGAGGGGCGGGGTGAGGGTTCCCTCTGCGGGCTTCTCCAATCATCAGCTGGATTGTGTGGGGCGAAGGGTCTTCATTGGATGTCCGCAGCTGGGCGGCCCTGGCCTCTGCTACCTGTAGCTAAGTGCTCAGTTGATCCGCAACGCGGCGCGCTGGGAGAGCTCGTTCTCGCGAGAGTGCAGCTCCCTTCTTGGCGGTGACAGCCAAGGCTGCCAGAAGGCCGACATGGACGCCCTCGGTGACTACGTTTGGCCGCGGGCAACCTCCGAGCTCATACTTCTCCCAGTCACGGGACTGGAGTGCGTGGGGGACCGGCTGTTGGCGGGTGAGGCTTGGTTCGAGGCGCGCTAGCGGGCTAAGAAACTGAGAGCCTGCTTGGGCGGGGCCACAGGGACAAAGGGATGCCCGGAGGTGGACTGGTGGCCAGATGAGGCCGGCTGGAAGATTGGAACTGAGACCATTAGATGGCGGGAACGAGGGCCAACTAAGGAGGGCTGGGCCCGAGAGACCGAAAGTTGATGTGGTTGTTACATCCCCACGTTGCAGCCAACGTGGAAAGAAAGGGTGGGCAGAGACGCGGGAAGGTGCAGAGAACACAGTCGTTAGAAGTTGGGGGAATGGGGTGCATGTCCCAAAGAGCTGGGCGGATGTTTGGCCTCTCCTGAGGACGCCCTAGTAAATCGGTAGGTCAARAATTTGGCGCCCCAGGGGGGGGCGTGGCAGGGGTGTGGCCTCTCGTGGGCTGGTGAGGCTCTTCTCCAGAAGGTAAAGGGTTGATGTAGGTCTTCTGAAGAGGGTGGGGTCTCGAAAGATTGCGCGTGAGACCTCTTAATGGAGCAGTGCCCAGAGAGACCAGAGATGAGGCTCCCACTAAGATGGTTGGGGTACCTGAAGACTGGTGGGGAAGCATATGCCTCGGTACATATCAGCAAAGGCTTGGGACCCGAGGTCTCAGTCTTAGGCTTGACATGAAACCGCTAGGGACTGAAGATGGTGCTGTGAGCTTTGTAAGGGTTCCTAGGCTGGAGGCACTGGCCATCAGGCCTCAGTGTGCTACCACCTAAAAGGGTCAAGTGTATGAATGTGCATGTGGCGGGGTGGGATAGTATAGGTTTTTTGGCTTTTAGTTACTGGGAATTCCCCCACATGGCTCGTGCATGCTAGGCAAGGGCTCTACCACTGAGCCACATCCCCAGCCCAAAAGTTTTTAAGAGAAAACATAATTTTAAAGGGAAAATATAATTGTTTTTTTAATTTTAAAGGTCAGGGATAGTAGGTCTTGGATGTAGCTCACTGATAGAATGCTTGCCTGCTATGCGCAAGGCTTTGGATTCTATCCCCAGGGAGGAAAAATGAAAGAAAAGAAAAAAGTCAGGGGTAGTTACTGGCATGACTGACTCCAGATTATTGAGTCAACAGGATTCTACATTTCCCAGATCTTGGCTTCTGGCTCCATTCTCATCAGGCAACATTAAGGGTTTTAAGCAGGAAAAGGACTTGGGAAATAAAGGTTAGGAAGCACTTCAAGTGAATTCACCTATTCATATGGGTTATCTGTTTGTTTATTTTGAAGTCTGGGGATTGAACCTAGGGATGCTCTATGAGCTACATCCAGCCATTTTTATTTTTTATTTTGAGACAGGATCTTGCTAAGTTTTCCAGACTAGTCTCAAACTTGTGATACTCTTGCCTCAGTTGCGAGAGTAACTGGGACTATAGACATGTGCCACTGTGTCTTGTTTAAAGGGCAGTTGCCTGGGTGCCTCTTAGTCATGACATGACAAGCAGGATACCGCTATACTTAGGAGGTTGACCCCAAGATACTTTTATAAAATTACAATTTTTTTTTTCCCTTTTGATACTGGGACTAAACCCAGGGGTGCTTTACCACTGTGCCACATCCCCAACCCTTTGTGACAGGGTCTTGCTAAGTTGATTAGGGTCTCACCAAGTTGCTGATCTTGGCGATTCTCCTGCTTCATCTGTGTCACTGGTATTACAGGCATCTGCCACTGCGTCTGGCCTTTTTTTTTTTTTTTTTCCTTTTAAGATGGTGTCTTGTGGGCTGGGGTTGTAGTTTAGTGGTAGAGGCACTGGATTCAATCCTCAGCACCACATAAAAATAAATAAATAAAATAAATGTATTGTGTCCAACTACAACTAAATATATATATATATATATTTAAAAATACAAAAAAGAAAATAAAGGTATTGTGTCCATCTACAACTAAAAATAAATTTTTAAAAAAGAAGGGGTCTTGCTATGTTGACTAGGCAGGGCTGAAAGTCCTCGGCTCAAGTGATCATCCCAGTTCAGCCTCCCAAGTAGGTGGGATGACAGGCAGGGGGTTTCTAGGTTGCCAGAATACTCTTCAACATCCCACACCCTTCCTTCCTTCCTTTTTCAGTGTTATTGAGGATTGAACCCAGACCCATATGCTAAGTACATGCTGTATTATAGAACACATCCCAGTCCTTATCTACAGCTTAAATTCCATCCATGTACACCTATAATCTGAAGTTAGCCTTGTTCTCTCATGAAAGAATTCTAGGTCTAAATACACAAGTGCTTACAAATAGAAATATTCCTGCCACTTCCAGCAGTCCTCCAGCTGGGTGGTCCAGCTCTGCAGGAGAACACCAGCCACTTGGGTGCCCAAGACTGTACCACACTTTCCAAGCCAATCTAGATGACTTTTATTTCATGTGATACCTGTCTATTTCTCTGCTTTTATGATCATCATGTTCATGACCCCCTCAGTTGCATCCTCTCCAGCCTTTTCTTGAGCCCTTCATTTCTTGCCACGTTACCCAAAGCTCTTGCACACTTTGGGGCCTGTTGTATTCTCTGCCAATTTCTTCCTTCCTGTAGCTGACACTTCTTTATCTTTGAATCCTCACCCTAAATGTTGTAGCTTCATGTTGGCCTCCCATGACTTTTATCTAGTCTTTTAAGATTGAACAAGGTTTCTCAGTATTGCCACTATTGACATTTGAGATCAGATAATTTGTAGCATGTTTGGCAGCATCTCTGGTCCTAGCTGCCTACAGCACAACCCCTAGTTATAACAAAAAACGTCTCTAGACATTGCCAAATGTCTCCTKGGGGAATCTTGCTGAGAATCACTGGATTACACACACACACACACGCCCATGTGTATCTCTCTCTCTCTTTTTTTAAAATATTTTTTTAAAGAGAGAGAGAGAGAATTTTTTAATATTTTTTAGTTTTCGGCGGACACAACATTTTTGTTTTGTATGTGGTGCTGAGGATCAAACCCGGGCCGCACACATGCCAGGTGAGCGCGCTACTGCTTGAGCCACATCCCCAGCCCAACCATGTGTATATCTCAAATATATAAAATGCAGGGGTTGCCTTTTGCATGTCTAAGCACTTGCTCTACCACTGAATTACACCCCTAGTTCCGTATTTATTTATTTATGCAGTACTAGGGATTAGACATTGGGCCTCCCACATACTAGACAACTGCTGTACCACTGAGGAAAACCCCTAGCCCTTTTTTTGAAAATTTTAAGACAGGGTGTTGCTCTTATAAGAAAAAAGAAAGAACACCCCTGCATTCAATCCCCAATACCAAAAAAAAAAAAAAAAAAAAGGAAGGGAAGGAAGAGAGAAACAAATTGAACACATTGCAACAGAAGCCAGAAGAGATTTTTGCTTTTTGTTTTGTTCCTGGTATGTGCCAAACCCTGTGTAGGCTCTTGATGACAATACAACTATGCCTTCTAAGGGCTCTTTGTGTTGCTACTGTGCCAGAGCTCTCTAAGCCTAAGTCTCCATACACAGAGGGGCCTTTCACAGCTGAGCAGTGGTAGGGCAAGAACTCAAGCCCACACTTCTGCCACCAAAGTATGGGCTACTGCCTGGTGTGGAAGTGTGCACCTCTAATCCCAGCAACTTGGAGGCTGAGGCAGGAGTATTGCAAGTTTGAGGTCATCCTGTGTAACTTAGCAAGACCCTAAAAACAGGGTTGGGGTGTAGCTCAGTAAAATGTTTGCCTAACATGTGCAAGGCTCTGGGTTCAATCCCCAATACCACACACATACATACATATACACATATGAAATGTGTGGGCTGCCTCTGCTACTTCCTTTCATTGATACTGAATATGCTCATATATTCTGCAGTCCAGGGAATGGGTTGCTATGGCCCCAACACAGGAAAGTTTGCCTTACTGGGCATAGCCGTGCTCCTAATGGAAGGGGAATCAGGAAGAATGAATGTAGAAATAGAGGAAGCTGAGGATTCAGGAACTAAAACTGAGGGAGGGAGTTCCCATCTGAATGTAAGAGGGAGGGGGACTGTGAGTTTGAGGATTTCATGGTGATTAATGAGGAGAGCAGAAAGTGCAATGGGAGAGAGCTAAAGATGRAACCAAGGATGTTTGAAGGTTCAAGCTAGAGGATTTTGTGACCTGATTCATTCATAGGCTACATGCTGAAGTCTCCTTGCCCCCATCTCCTCTCCATGGGTCATCAGAGTTAGGAGAGTGATTCTGATATGGCTCTTTGCCTCTGTCTAGGTGAGGGACCTGATGTCCTGGTGTACAGCTTGGACTTGGGCGGGCATCTGCGGATGATGAAGCGAGTGCAGAACCTACTTGGCCACTACCTTATCCATGGTTTCCGAGTGCGGCCAGAGCCCAATGGAGATGATTCGGAGGCCATGGTAGCTGTGTTTGGGAGCAAGGGACTCCGAATTGTGAAAATTAGCTGGGGCCAGAGCCGCTTCCGGGAGCTCTGGCGCTCTGGCCTATGGAATATGTCCGACTGGATCTGGGATGTACGCTGGCTTGAGGGCAATGTTGCCTTGGCCCTGGGCCACAACTCAGTGGTGCTATATGACCCTGTGATAGGATGCATGCTACAGGATGTACCCTGCACAGACAGGTGTACCCTCTCCTCAGCATGCTTGATTGGAGACACCTGGAAGGAGTTGACCATTGTGGCAGGTGCTGTCTCCAATCAGCTTCTAGTCTGGTACCCAGCAGCTGCCTTAGTAGACAACAAGCCGGTGGCACCTGACCGACGAGTCAGTGGCCATGTGGGTGTCATCTTCAGCATGTCATACCTGGAAAGCAAGGGCTTGCTGGCAACAGCTTCAGAAGACCGAAGTGTCCGTATCTGGAAGGTGGGCGACCTGCGGGTACCTGGGGGTCGGGTGCAGAATATTGGTCACTGCTTTGGGCACAGTGCCCGTGTGTGGCAAGTCAAGCTCCTAGAGAATTACCTTATCAGTGCAGGAGAGGACTGTGTCTGCCTGGTGTGGAGCCATGAAGGTGAAATCCTCCAAGCCTTTAGGGGTCACCAGGGCCGTGGGATCCGGGCCATCGCTGCTCATGAAAGGCAGGCATGGGTGATCACTGGGGGTGATGACTCAGGCATTCGGCTATGGCACCTGGTAGGGCGTGGCTACCCAGGCTTGGGGGTCTCAGCTCTCTGTTTCAAGTCTCCTAGCCGGCCAGGTACCCTCAAAGCCGTGACACTGGCTGGATCTTGGCGACTACTGGCAGTGACTGATACTGGAGCCCTTTATCTCTATGACCTTGAGGTCAAGTGTTGGGAGCAGCTGCTAGAAGACAAGCACTTCCAGTCTTATTGTCTGCTGGAGGCAGCTCCTGGTCCTGAGGGCTTCGGACTGTGTGCCATGGCCAATGGTGAGGGTTCTGTCAAGGTTGTCCCAATCAACACTCCAGCTGCTGCTGTAGACCAAGCCCTGTTCCATGGGAAGGTTCATAGCCTGAGCTGGGCCCTGCGTGGCTATGAGGAGCTCCTATTGCTGGCATCAGGCCCTGGTGGGGTTGTGGCTTGCTTGGAAATCTCCGCTGCACCCTCTGGCAAGGCCATCTTTGTCAAGGAGCGTTGCCAGTATCTGCTGCCCCCAAGCAAGCAGAGATGGCACACATGCAGTGCCTTCCTGCCTCCAGGTGACTTTTTGGTATGTGGTGACCGCCGCGGCTCTGTGCTGCTATTCCCATCCAGACCAGGTCTGCTTAAGGACTCTGGGGTTAGAGGCAAGGCTATTGCTGAGGGACCTGTAGCTGGTAGTGGCAGCGGGAATGCTGTGGCTGGGTGGGGCCCTGTATCTACCCTCCATTCTCTGCATGGGAAGCAGGGTGTGACCTCAGTCACCTGCCATGGTGGCTATGTGTACACCACAGGGCGTGATGGCACCTATTACCAGCTCTTTGTGCAAGGTGGCCAGCTTCAGCCAGTCCTGCGCCAGAAGTCCTGTCGAGGCATGAACTGGGTGGCTGGGCTTCGCATGGTGCCTGATGGGAGCATGGTCATCCTGGGCTTCCATGCCAATGAATTTGTGGTGTGGAGCCCCCGGTCACATGAGAAGCTGCACATCATCAACTGTGGTGGAGGGCACCGCTCCTGGGCCTTCTCAGATACAGAAGCAGCCATGGCCTTTGCCTACCTTAAGGATGGAGACGTCATGCTATACCGGGCTCTAGGTGGCTGCACCCGGCCACATGTAATTCTTCGGGAAGGTCTACATGGTCGTGAGATCACTTGTGTAAAGCGCGTGGGCACCATCACCCTGGGACCTGAATTTGAGGTACCCAGCCTTGAGCAGCCTGATTACCTGGAGCCTGGAAGTGAGGGCCCTGGTCTGACAGATATTGTGATTACATGCAGTGAGGACACTACTGTCTGTGTCCTGGCACTCCCCACAGCCACAGGTTCAGCCCATGCACTCACAGCTATATGTAACCATATCTCCTCGGTGCGTGCTGTTGCGGTGTGGGGCACTGGCACCCCAGGTGGTCCTCAGGATCCTCGACCAGGTCTGACAGCTCATRTAGTGTCAGCAGGGGGTCGAGCTGAGATGCACTGCTTTAGCATCATGGTCACTCCTGACCCCAGCACCCCAAGCCGCCTTGCCTGCCACGTTATGCACCTTTCATCTCACCGGCTGGATGAATACTGGGACCGGCAGCGCAATCGGCATCGGATGGTCAAGGTGGATCCTGAGACCCGGTAATGTGCACTTTCAGGCAGGGGAATAGGGTGGAAATATGAAGGGCAAGTCCTGGGTGGTGTCCCCAGGCTTTCAGACTCCATCTGACAGCTATATTGTCTCTACTGTAGGTACATGTCCCTTGCTGTTTGTGAACTTGACCGGGCTGGACTTGGCCCCATTGTGGCTGCAGCCTGTAGTGATGGGGCAGTGAGGTGAGAGCATGGGGCCCAGTGGGTGGGGTGACAGGGTATAAGGTTGTCTGACATAGCTTCTGAGCTGGGCCACCTCCTGGCCCCCAGGCTCTTTCTTTTGCAGGACTCTGGGCGAATTCTACAGCTCCTTGCTGAAACTTTCCACCATAAGCGGTGTGTCCTCAAAGTCTACTCATTTACCCATGAGGCACCCAACCAGCGGCGGTAAGGGGCTGAATGAGACAGTCCTGCATGGGTTAGGTGGGGAGTTCCTGCTTCTCTCTCCATTCCTCACTGACCTGGCTGCCCTTTCCTGGCTCCTAGGAGGCTGCTGCTTTGCAGTGCAGCTACTGATGGCAGCCTAGCCTTCTGGGATCTCACCACGGTGTTGGACCGTGGTTCCATGGTCCTGGAACCTGCAGGACACCCTGGGCTTCCTTACCGTGAGTAGTTAATGTGTAGCCATGACTGTCCCTTCCCACCTCTCACTTTGCCCTTACATACAAGGCAGGCAGGGCCCTAAAATCCAACCTTTTATTTCAGAGCTGGGTACTCCCTGCCTGACCCTCCAGGCTCATAGCTGTGGTGTCAACAGTCTGCACACCTTACCAACATGTGAGGGCCACCATCTTGTGGCCAGTGGCAGTGAGGATGGCTCCTTGCATCTCTTCAAGCTTGCTGTGGAGATACCAGAGCTGGAAGATGCTGTGGGGGAGGCTGAGCTGGTGCCCCAGCTGCGTGTGCTTGAAGAATACTCTGTCCCCTGTGCACATGCTGCCCATGTGACAGGCCTCAAGATCCTAAGCACAAGCCTCATGGTCTCAGCCTCCATTGACCAACGGCTAACTTTCTGGCGTCTGGGGCATGGTGAGCCCATTTTCATGAACAGCACTGTATACCATGTGCCAGATGTGGCTGATATGGATTGCTGGCCCGTGAGCCCCGAATTTGGCCATCGCTGTGCTCTTGGGGGCCAGGGGCTTGAGGTTTACAACTGGTATGACTGAGGTGTCCCACAGTGGCTGGTGTGCTGGGCAAGGGGTCTACTCACAGATAGTGGAGCAGGAGTCAACTGTCTGTGCTCATGCCCAGTGTGCCTTGAGGAGGGGAGGAGGTGGAGGCTGTGGGTTCCTAACTCCACAGCAGGAGCTAGAGGTGAGTAGAGTACTGCCTAGGTGGACCAAGAATATGCCCAACTCCCCATAGTAGACATAACCTTGTAACAAAAGCAATTTATTTTGGCTTTAAGCTCCTGAAGTCTGTGGAGTTTCGCATTTTTCTTCCAGTTGATAATTTTATAAACATTCCCATATACTTGGCCCTCTGTGGCTTTAGATGTGGTTCAATGGAGGGATGCCCAGCATAGCCAGGCCAGTATGGAGTATCTCACGCACGGCTTTCAGAAGCTGCAAGCGGGCAAACATCTGACCAAAGAGGTGTGGCCGAGGCTCCTGGAGGAGAAGGGACCTGCTGGTCTCATTTTTTGCTTCCCTTGCCTTTACTCTGAACTCCTCTGCCCTTCCCACATATTCCCTTTTGCTGTGTACTCACCCCTAGGACATGTATCCGGTTATAGTATGAGCTGAAATCCATGCTGAGCTGTATCAGGAATTTGCATACCTAGAGACAGAGATAGTTACTGGCCCATGTCTTTTTGTGCCCCATCTTAGAATAAAGAATAGAGTGTGACATGTCTGGTCTGGTCTTCTGTGCCTCACCATCTCTGTGTGAGCAGTGACACGGAGCCCCGGGGATATACAGGTCAGGACTGCAGTCTGACTCAACAGATCCGAGAAGGGAAGGACACTGTTGAAGAGCAGCAACCACTCGCCCTGTGGGGTACAAGGGTGCTGGGAGGCAAAGTCCAAGGGTACTGCTTGTGTCAGATACTCAAGAAGGGCACTCACCTCATCTTGTAGCAGCGAGAAGTCCAGACTGCTCACAGGTGGGAAAGTGGGGTACAGACCTTGTTCCATACAGCGTTTGTAACCCTCAAAGAGTGTGGCAAGACGGGCACAATTATACATGACAAAGGTGCCACTCTTTGTGCCCTTTGTGGAAATGCTACTGTCAGTCAGGGCCAGGTGGAGCTAGAGAATGAAGACACAGTTTCAGAGAGTAGACATCAAGCCTTAGTCCTATGAGGTGTCCAGACTCACCTGACTTTGTGGGGCTGTGCTTAGCATCTCAAACTTGATGGTAGCCACAGAGAGAACCCCAAAGATCTCTATCCAGGCTGGGTCTGGGGGAATATAAGTTAGTATTTCAGTCTCTGCAAATGGAACGGGTACAAATGACCTGGCCTTACTCCAGGGCACAGCTAGGGTTTCCCAGGTGCACCTTGTGCCAGACTACCACCGTGCTTCAGAGCTGAGACCTTGCACACCTGGGTATGTCGGGACCTGCATGTTGAAAGAAGAGAGCCAATAGGCACAGTCCTAATAAAAATCTCTACCTCCCAATCTCAATCTCCCTGCCTTGGGTTGGCCTTCTTCCAGCTTCACTTACTCATAGTATTCAGGGGCAGTCATCAAAGTTCCAGGTGCACCAGCTACTTTTACTGGGCCACAGACCAGATGCTTCTGTAGAAAACATCAGGGGTTCAACCCAATTGGCACTGCATTCCAGCCATTAGTTCATTAAGGAACCCAAATCTGGTGCCTCTACTCCATCCTCCCTCCAACCTGTATTCACCAAGCACAGTGCCTCCTTTTCAAGMCCAGTTCCTCAAAACATGGTGCAATTTATTTTTTTATTCAATGTTCCTAGGATGTGCCTTCAGATTTTACCTTCTCCAGGGCTTCTGCAACTATTGCATATGCCTGTTCATTTAGTCTCCCGCAAGCTCAAGCTCAAGTCTCAGTTTCTTGATCTACCAGCTAATGAGCCTCTTTCAGTTTGGGGGAGTCTATTATCACTAACCTACCTGTCTGAGTGGAGCCTGGTCATCCAACTTCCACCAAAGTAGGTCCAACTTTTGTTGTTGGAACTCCTCCTCACAGCTCACCACATGTACAACTATGCAGCTGTCTACACCAGCATCTGGAGCCACCGTCTTATAAAGAAAAACGACAGCTACTGCAAAAATGCAGGATATTTGGTTTGCCAGAGGCTTATGGAACTGGAAGTTACTAACCAGGCTTTGGTAGTTGTCTTCTGGCCAGTGCTGCACAGCTTCCTGCAGCTCAGCCAGCACAGAGAGCAGGTCCTCAGTCACTGCAAACAGAACAATAAAACAGGTACTGAGACTGACAGAGATACTTCCTCCTTTCTGATTCTGCTAGGCTCCAGGTCCTACCAAGACAGTTGTCCACACTGGGGTCATAGCCAGCCCTGTGGCCCTGTTCTTCCACCAGATCCTTCAGGCATAGTCTTCCCAAGACGCCAGGGGGCAGTGTCTCCCCATCATGCAGAGAGGTTAGCTCTGCTAGCACACGGCTCTTCAGGGTTTCAGTAGACGTTCTTGCCGAGGCAGTGGGCCAGTCAACCCTCAGTTTCTGCAGGAAAGTTGGCATGTGCGGGTCCCGCACAGCGGGCACTAGGTGCACACACATCCTGCAAAGCGAGGGTGGTCACGTGAGCCTGGGCACCGAGTCCCAGATCGCTTCCCACGCTCCGAGGCTATCCCCAAAGATCCCGCCTTTCTCCATTCTAGCCTCAAGTCTGCACTTACCCTTGAGTACGCAGAGTTCGCGCCAGGTGATCCGCCACTAGTACTGCACGCAGCTGGCTCAGGCGGAGTGCGTCAGGGCTGCAGCGCAAAGCCGGGCAGTGCAGAACTACTCGCGGTCCGGGCGAGGCAGGTCTGGTGGGCTTGGCATAGGAGGCAACTGAGCCGAGGACACGCTGAAAGACTGCAGGTCGCTGCAACTGGAGCACCAAACCCGCTGGTGTCGGCGCGCAGCGCAGCACCGGGGCCACACCGGGACCCTGCAGACTAGCGACCGCATGGAACACATGCTCCGGCACCTACGAGCAGACAGGCTTGTGAGCAGGCCGCAACTTCCCTGAAACCCTCGACCTTACATCCCCGCCGGACTCCCGCACACCTGCTCGTCCCCGAAGCGCGCCCGTAGAGCTTGTCTCGGTGCCAGGAAGTCTCGGACACGCAGGTGCCGGGCACGGGTCTCCTTAAACCACACCGGACCTCCAGGTCCTAAGGCAGCGTTAAGGGCCCCCAGCGTCTCCCCGACCCCAAGTCGCCCAGTCGCCATGGCGACCGGAAGTAAAATATTCGGAGGTGGAACTTCCGGGTGAGCCCCGAACCGCTCCGGGAGGATCTGGTGGAGGTCTGGTTAAGTGGACAGGTGCGCTCTCAAGTGAGCCGAGTCAGCCGCATTCGACCTACCTACCCAGTGTTCCCTCCGTGTGGCCCTCCTGCACTTCTGGGCCCCGAGAGTGCCTAGGGTTCTTTATTGTTGCTCTGCATTAGCAATCAGTAAAAGAATTCTTGTGAGGGGTGGAGGCGCAGACAAGAAATCTTGTCATCAGTCTCAAATGTGTGTTCGCGTTCATTTTAAATAATGTCTCATTTCCCCCATTTTAAACGTGATGAAAAGTACCAAACGAGTTGTCATTGGAATGCGGCTGTAACATTAAACACTTTCACGACCTACTTTTAAAAACCTTATTTTTAAAAGAACTGTGTTCTATGGTTTCAGGTTATTGGCAAGCCTTCTCTTGAGATTCAAGTAGTCTTTACTCCCAATAAATGCCCAATCTGATAGAATTGCCCGTTTCCTTCTCTTGACACCTGAGGAATTAGAACCATCATGGACCATGCTCGGATTCACACGCCTGTAATAACAGCGGCTCGTGAGGCTGAGACAGGAGAATCAGGAGTTCAAAGCCAGCCTTGGCAATGGCGAGGCCCTAAGCAACTCAGTGAGACCCTGTCTCTAAATAAAATATGAAATAGGGCTGGGGATGTGGTTCAGTGGACAAGTGCCCCTGAATTCAGTCCCCAATATCCTCTCCACAAAAAAAAAAAAAGAACCATCATGGTTTCCAGAATTACCAGTTCCTTTAACCTGGTGTACTTCACTAGCAAACCTTTAATACTTAGAGTAAGCATTAAAATAATACATAAACAAACAATGTGACCATGAGAAGACTCAACTAAACAAGTCATAGGAGTATCCTGCTTTTATACGAGCAGGAAAGCTCTTTTTCTGTATACCAAAAGGGTTCCAAATGTTTTCATTTTAATGTAACTTAAGCCTGTGCTGCCCTTCTAATAGCGATTGAACCTAACTCATGATCTCTGGAATAGGGGACATGCCCAGAGGTTGGACAAAGAGGGAATACTAAGGAGAGGGAAAGGTTAGCAAGGTCCCTTTCTGAGCTGGGGTTATGAGGCCCTGTTGGAAGGCTCCGAAAGAGCACTGGGCGGACACGACATTCCCGATGGCTTCTTGGGTGCCCACTCAACGGGAGTGATCGTGTCATTCCAAAGCACTTTCCATGCCACAGGCGAAAGACCTGGAGACAGCTGCTAGCAGGGGCCCACCGCCAAGCTGAGGACCTCAGCTACTCTCAGTCCAAGAAGACGGTTGGGGTGGTTTTTCCCCAGGAAGTGAAGGGCTATCTTTAGCAAGCCGTGGGCTGGGGCGGCCTGTGGGACTCACCGCCATTGCAGCCCTACCCGACGGACCCAGGTCCTCCCCTCACCAAAGCTCTCATGGAGTTCCAGTGAGGGACACCAGTCCCAGCTCTTCGATGTCTACGCTTGCCATCTGCAGCCTGAGGGCGCACCTGAGAGAGGGACGGAGACCAGAGTGGCCCAGTACAGTCAGTGTGCCTGGGGGTCAGGGGCCACTCCATCTGGGCTAGGGCGCTGCTCAGGCAGAAGAGCAGGGAACGAAATCCAAGCGCAGCTGGAATGCTCTGGAGACAACAGCTGCTTTTGGGATTCCGTTGCCCGCTGTCCAGCCGTTGGAGGGGGGCTCCTGCCCCCAGGTCACTCGCACTGGGATCAGCTCAAAACCCACACCCATCCCCAGTCCCAGGGTGTGGACTAGGCAGAAGTAGGTGGTGTAATCGAGTCTAGTGAGAATGAGGCGCTCACCTGGGCCCCAGAACAATAGGAGGGAAGGTGGGCGCCTCCCCTGGGACCAGGTCCCGATCCGGATTAGATCCGCAGGGCAGGATTAGCCCTGTGGGTCCCACGAAGCTGGAGCCACTGGTGCGGTGACGGTGGTGGGGCGAGCTTCGGAATCTGCCAAGAGGAAAGCGCGCCCGTGGGGGCCGGAGAGGAAGTCAAAGCGCGCGCCCACTTCGGGGACACCCCCGCGCTCGGGGGCCTTTGTCCGCTGACGCTCCCAGCGTCCAGACAAGGGGCCGAATGGGCCCACACAGTAGTCATAGGAAACTGGAAGGCCGTTGGGACTGGCCCTGGCAAATCCAACCCCAGGCCAGACTGCGCTGAACCTCCTGCCCACCCGACCCCGCGGGTAGCAAACGCGACAATGTCTCGCTGAGGCCACCACAGAGCCAACGCGCGGAGATGTCCGAACCCCGCGCGGGCGTTCGTGAGTCTTGCGCCAGTAGGCCCTTTACTTGGCTGAGAACAGGGGGCAGGGAAACCGGAACGCGCGAGCAGAGTGAAGGAGGGCGGGATGATGTTCCAGGTGCTGTGTAGTTCACATCTGGTCCGGTTCGGCCCAGTTAGTCCCACCTGAACAGCTACATTAGTCCTGCCGTGGCGTGCCCTTCCGCTGGCTCTGGCTGTCCTCAGGCTTGAAGCCATTTTAAGGCGAAACCACCTGGCCACGCCCCCTCGCGCTCCCGAGAAGCCAATCCACGCGCGGCCACGCCTTCTGCAGCGCGCGGCAGTGCAGCCAACGGTCGCGCGAATGACGGTTGGTGAGGGCCGTGATTCCGAAACTAGCTAGGGAAACCTTAGCCACCCGTCCCGCCCACGAAGCCCGACACCGAAAAGCCTGGGATTAGGTGCTTGGAGGCTGGCACCACACCCTGGCCAGGTGTGCAGCAGAGGACCAGGTGCTTGGTCGCTCCGCCCCTGGTCCCGGGAGCCCTGCAGAATGCCTGAGAGCCTCGGGGCCAGGCCGAGACTGCGGCCCAGGCAATGCCCGGAGGACGGCGACGGGACCAGGTGTCCACTCCCTAGGGACTTTGGGCGGAGAAACGGGGAGGGGCTGGCGGCAGGTGCCGTCACCCGAGCGGCGCCTGGAACGCGAGCTCTTGAGAGTTAAAATTGCCTGCTGGGCCGGCCTAATTGCGCAGTCCCCTCCCGTACGCATGGGGCGCTGTAGCTGCACTAGGTCAGGCTCCGCTACCTTCTCACTATTCCTGCGGAGGACTCGCTACTCTCAGAGCAGCCATGGCCACCGCTTTCTCGCTCCGCTACCTCTACAGAGCGCGACCCGTGCCGCGCTTCCTACATGTTGCGCTGCAGTGGTAAGTCCGGACCCCCGGCCCCAACCTTCTGCCCCCCAGCTCCAAGATCCGCAAAGCCCCGGATATGCGCCCGACCTTGCCGCTTCCGCAGGTTTCCACAGCGTGGGCACCGACTGTCGCTAGCTGATGATGAATTGTATCAGCGGACTCACATTTCTCTGCTGCAACGCGAGTTCCCGCACATCATGTACATTGACAGCTACAACAGCCGAGGCTTCACTATCAACGGAAATCGAGTGTTCGGTCCTTGTGCGCTGCTCCCTCACTCGGTGGTACAGTGGAATGTGAGCCCTTCCCCGCAGTGGGCAAACAGGCCAAATTACAGTCCTTCTCCCTGCTTGTGTCCCTGGCAAATTTGGCTTTTCCTTGTTAGTCAGACTTTGGAGGGCGGCGGCTAGAAGGTAACTTGGGTAGATTTGATTGTCGTATTGAATTGGCCCCCACCCATACAGGTGGGATCCCACCAGAATATCACAGAAGAAAGCTTCTCCCTCTTCTGGTTGCTGGAGCCCAGGATAGGTATGAAGGGTAGGGGAAGACTGAGGTGCTCTGAGCCCGGAAAGGATACCCGATCCTCTCAACAGACCTGATTGTAAAATAGCCATCTCTCACTTCCCTAGAGATTGTTGTGGTGGGTACTGGAAACAGGACTGAGCGGCTACACTCTAAGGTGCTGCAAGCCATTAGGCAGCGGGGCATCGCTCTGGAAGTGCAAGACACTGTAAGTCTTGGAAATGCTGTGGGAGCTCAGGCCTAACCCCAAGGAAACTAACGACTTATCTTTGCAGCCCAGTGCCTGTGCCACCTTCAACTTCCTGTGTCATGAAGGCCGAATGACAGGAGCTGTTCTCATCCCCCCACCTGGAGAGACTTCACTCACATATATGAGCCAAGATGCAGAATGAACAGGAAGTGATCAGCTGTTCAGGAGGGACACTTTATAAAGTGCAGATGTTCCCATTGTTTTCACTGTCCTCTCCATTGGCACTAAACACTTTTCATGCTTGACAGGAATATAATTTATACAATTCTCCCATTTTGTATCAGGTGTGTTGCTGGCCAGGGGTTGCTGGGTCAGTGGGCCACTGGTGGAGGTGAGGAGAAAGCAAAGGGTCACTATTTTATCTAGACTATTCCTGATTTCCTGTTCTTCACTTCAGAGGCCAGGAGGCAGAAGTTTTGTTTCAGATCTTATGGACATTTATATGAGTTTCTCCAGGATCCTTTTAAAGATTCATATTAGGGAGTACACGTCCAAGTCTTGAACTAGTCCCATGCAGCCAAGCTTTAGGCTAGCAGGAGGCTTTGTATACACCCATTCCAGACTATAATGTGACACCCCCAACTCCCTCAAGAGCAGAGTTAAGATTCTCAGTGTGAATTGATTTGAGAACATCCCCCTATGAAATTTATGTATTTTTTTTAAGTCAGATATACACAATACATTTGTTTTTAGGAACCCAGTGCCTCACATGTGCAAGGCAAGTGCTCTACCACTGAGTTAACAACCTTAGCCCCCAGGAAGAAGTTTTTAAACTGGAACTACCCTCTTTGAAGGATCATGGAGCACTTTTATCCATGGAACAAAATGAGGTTGCTATTTGTACCTGCAGATCTCCCATGTGCCTGGTGACCCCAAAGATCAGGCATCACACTTTTTCAAACTTTTATTGAAAAACTGAGGAGGCACGTTGGATCCCTTTTCAGAAAAGCCGCTTCTCATACCTGTAGGCAGAGATCACTTGTGAGTTTAGGACAAGATGAAAGAGGTATGAGGCATGGAAGATGCTCTCAGCTAAGGATAGGGGTTACTTACGAATGGAGACTGTGGACACCACCTTCCACCTGAGCTGAGGATGTTCTCTTCTCAAACTTAAGTTCCCCAGAGTACATCATGGCTCTAAAGAGGGACAGGGATCAGATGTAGGCAGTAGCTGACTCACTAAACAGTCCTTCTGCCCATGTCTCAGGTACCCAAGCTCACCGGACTTGAGTCAAACTCTTGGCACCAATATCCTGGCAGGAGTGCTGGATGCCGGCAATCAAGTAGGGGACAAATTTATGGATGGACCCTTTGTCCTGTACAGCCCCTGATACCCCTTGGGCCACTTTGATTTTGTCGGCTTCACTATAGGAAGAGGTAGAGAAATGGGTGAGGTCACAGCAGGGATGAGATTTGTCAGAGTTGGGATAGGGTGATTGGTCTGACTGTCTCACCTGAAATATCGGTTCTGGCTGCTGAGATGCTTGTCCATGGCATCAAGAGAGCCCATACCACGATATTTCTTTAGCCGGATCCCATCGGAGAAGAAGTACTCACCAGGGGCCTCAGTGGTAGCAGCCAGGAGGGAACCCATCATGACTGTGGACATATGTGGAGTGCTCAGGGCAGAATCTGGTGAGAAGGGGTCCCACCAAGCTCTAGGGGCACTGAGCCTCACCTGTGGAGGCCCCAAGGGCCAAGGCTTTGGCAATATGGCCCACATTCTGGATTCCTCCATCAGCAATGACAGGAACACCAAAGCGGCGTGCATATTCAGAAACCTTGTACACAGCTGTTGCTTGGGGCCGCCCACAGGCCAACACTGTTGAGGAACAGATGGGGGGTGGGGGTTAGTGGGAACAAGCAAGAGGCCACACTTAGCACCCAGGAGCTTAGCTACATCTGTACCAGGATGGCAACTGGTCTGATGAGATGTCTGGGATGGCTGCTGTCCCATCTGCCTTTTCACAGTTCAATTAGTTGTGCTGGCCTCATCCCTGCATGTGTGTGTACGTGGGTGCAGGGTTCAGGGCAGCCTCAGGCACATGCAGTCTTTAGCAGCCGGGAAAGCCCCGCCCAGCTGGTGGCAGATGGGACAGGAGTCCCCGTGCAGTTAGTACCCAGAGGCACCATGTCAACCCCAGACTTTCCTCTCTGAATACTGGACACCTGGGGCAAGATCAGGTAACGTGAGAGCAGGCTACAGGGCTGATCCTTGAACTACTACTACTACAGAAGATGTGGACAAAGCATAGCCTGCCTAGGGAAGCAGGTCCTGCTGTGTAAGCACCCAGGAAGAAAAAGGAGCTGTGATCTCAAGCAGCCCCCAAACCATGGTCTGTACATCTGTTTACCCTGCCCACCCATTAGCACCACAAACTCCGGGAGCTACAGCTACAATCAACCAAGCAGCTGGGCAGTGGGCAGCTGGGCCGGCCAGTGGGCCAGGCCGGACTTACTATAGCAGCCCGTGACAGTAGAAGGGCATTTGGGGCTGTGGGACTTTATGTCTGGAGGGATCTTGGGAGCCGCTAAATAAAACAAACAGACCAGAGTTTAGAGAGGGTGCAGAGCAGGAGCAAGGAGGCCAGGCTAGGCAGGGAAGTGGCAGGGAAGGGATGACAAGAATTCTTCTTGCTTCCAGGCATGTCACCCATCCAAGAGGCCTATTTGGCCTCAGAGTTGCCTCTATTAGAGGACTCATTGTGGTTCCCATTAAGAGTGCCTGATCCCAGGGCATGTGAGACCCATTGCCAAGGTCTCTGGGCTGTGCCAAAGAATATCCTTACCTTCCTGGGTGATGCAGATAGAGCCACTTCCCATGCCCACCCGCAGGGCATCCACACCTGCATCAATGAGGTTCTTGGCCTGAGCTGCAGTGACAACTACAGTAAAGGAGAGGGAAAGTCTCATATGAGGGTCCAGATGACAGCCCAGCTCTCTATCCCACTCCATATTTGTCAGTGCCCGGTCTTGGCTTACCATTGCCTCCAATGACTTGGAGATTGGTATATTTCTCTTTGATATACTTGATCATATTGATCTGGAAGATGGAATTTCCCTGGGAAGAGTCCTGAGACAAGAAGGAAGTCCCACGTAAAGACTGTGATGTGGCGTTAGTCCTGTCCCATCCTTTTATGTATTAGCTTACCAAAACCACTACGTCCACACCAGCTTGGGCTAGCAAGTCCAGTCTATACTTGTCATCCTCATGAGTGCCAATGGCTGCCCCACACAGTAGCTGCTTCTTGGCATCTTTGGAGGCTAGTGGGTAATCCCGGTTCTTCTTTAAGTCTGTCCGGGCAATGATGGCTACCAGCTCATCATCTTCATTCACAATGGGTAACTTTCCTGAAGTCAGGGTAAGACATAAATCAGGTACCTGAGCATCAATTATGTCTATGCCCCTTCCCACCTCTGGGACTCACCCTTCTTGCTGCGCTGTAGAATTTCATTTGCTTCCTTCAATGTGATACCTGCAGGAGCTACCACCAAGTCTTCTCGCTTAGTCATGATCTGAAGGGAAGAAGTGATGAGGAGAGGCCAGACCTCTCAGACCCTGCCCTAACTATAAGAGGAGGCTCCAAAGACCACCATTCACATACCTAATCCCAAACTATACTTCCTTAAGGAAACTTGGTAGTTCCTACACCAGCATAGTATACTGAGTAGGAAGGACTACACTGTATAGAGAGCAGCCTCTTACACTGTAGAAAATTGCACAGGAGTAATGAAGAGGACCAGAAGAAAAAGGCTGATTGATGGTCCTTGAGCACTGAACTCAACCTGGGGGTGTCAAAGAGCAAAGCATGAATGCTGACAGGAAATTTGGAAGTTTGAGACCCTGGTAGAGGGGAAGATGAAATTCAAGAACCTGGGAGGGGAGGGGGGATAGTAGAGAATAGGACAGACAGCAGAATACATCAGACACGAGAAAGGCAATATGTCAATCAATGGAAGGGTAATTGATGTGATACAGCAATCTGTATACGGGGTAAAATTGGGAGTTCATAACCCACTTGAATCAAACTTTGAAATATGATGTATTAAGAACTATGTAATATTTTGAACGACCAACAATAAAAAAAAAAAAAGAAAAAAGAAATTCAAGAACCTCATGAAGCAGTCAGAAATGTGGCTAGGTATTCAGTTTCCTAAACAGAAGAGAAATGTTATATGGGCAACAGGCCTGCTTCCTTCAGTGTAGGCTGCCAGAGTTTAGCTGTGCTCTGCTGGTGACACTTACTTCTTCCAAAAACAGGTCATGCTCCTCCTCCTTGAGAAAATCAATGTCCCTTGAGGAGATGATGCCCACCAAGCGACTCCCCATCCGGCCTGTATCCGTAATGGGTATACCGCAAAAGCCATGCCGAGCCTTGGCCTCAAAAACATCCCGGACGCGATCCGTGGGGCTGAGGACCACAGGGTCTGTGATGAATCCCTGCTCATATTTCTGGAGGGAATGGTAAGAAAAGGCATTGTATCTGATCACTTTTTATCAAACTGTTGGTTTAGGCACAGGGTCTATGCCTAAACTACCCTTTTGGTAGTGCTATAGGATCAAGTCAAATCAATTCCTCTAACAAGAAACAWGGGTGGGCTGGAGACACTGTGCACCTGGTGCTCTTCTAATGGCTTAAGAAACTGGATATCAGGCCCTTCTCCTCAGTAATTGAACCCCACAATGGGAAGAAAGGATCCTAATTTAGCAGAACAAACCTCCTACTCCCACCCCACTGCACCTCAGTGCAATTCCCAGAGTTCTTCACCACAGTCCCTGCCCTTCTGACCTTCACTTTCCGAACTTCATTAGCCTGGAATTCAGGTGTACAGTTGTGGTGGATGAAACCAATGCCGCCAGTAAGCTTGAGGATAAACAGAGAGACACCATTGCATGTTTCTTAGGGAGATGGTGTCCCTGCCTTCTCCCATAACCCCATGAGGCTCACCGCCATTGCAATGGCCATCCCAGCCTCTGTAACTGTGTCCATGGGTGAGGAAACCAGTGGGGTCTTCAGAGTGATCTTCTTGGTCAGGGCAGAGGTCAGGTCCTGAGGAGACAAAGGACCACTAGTGTGGCCAAGTACCTCTTACACTACAGGGAGGTATCAGAAACCCTGCAAAATGGGATCTGACTTGCATGCTGACAATTCCATAGAATCCACCCCCAAAACCCAATCTAGTAAGGTAGCCCAGAGACCAGGCAACAGCAGCACCTTTATGTTCAGAACCCAGTTCCTGGTCATACTCACCACCTGGTCTGCAGTGAAGTCGATGTACCCAGGGAGAATGAGAAAATCGCTGCAGAGGAGGGGAGTGAATTGGGAGCAGGGCTCTGAGTTATGGTACCATGAGACATCAACTCCACACATCAACCCACAAGGAATAAGAGCAAAGAGAGGCACTAACTGAACTGAGGTGTCACAGGCAAAACAGAGCACAGCATGGGGACGGTAAACTGGGGACCTTTTCTGCCACTGAGCTGTCACCAGTGCTCCTGAAATCCTCAAAATTCCACGTGTTCAGAGAATGGAGTCTTCTCAAGCCTGAAATCCTAAGTACTGTCGAGATGGCTCCCCCTAACCCAACCCCGCTTTGAATCTGTCAAAATGAATCCCGGTGACAGGTGGGTAATTTCCGGATCCTGTCCCCCAAGCCCGCACCGAAGAGGGCTCCATTGAAGCCCTCATCCGGCCTCTTAGACCAGATTGCCTCCCCTCTACTGGCCCAGGTGAAACCCCAAGGCCCGCACTTGTAGGTGAGGCCGTCCCCGCAGTTGAAGAGCTGCTGTGCTGTGAGTCCGTCGTCTGGCACATAGGATGTGCCCCCGCTAATCAGGTAGTCCGCCATGGCCGGCGCTGAACACTACCGCGTGTTGCCGAGAACCGCGCCGCAGAGGCCTCCGCCGTCAGGGCGGCGCCAATATAAACCAGCCGAATCCGTCATTGCGCCGCGCGCATTGCTGACGTCACGGCGCAGAGCGCGCGGGCGGAACTGCAGCGTTCCTGCGGCAGGGGCGGGGCTGATTGGGAGGAACCGGCGCATGCGAAAAGCATTCACCAACCATACCCCCGAATGAGTTGGGCTATTTCCTGTCCCACCCCCTCCCACAGCACCTTGGGTAGTTTCAAGAACCGGGAAGGCTTAGCTGCTGCTGTCCTGCCAGGTACCTCCCCAAATAAAGACACATTGTTCACTAGCATATTGAAAAGACGTGCTTGTCATTCTTAATAAACAACTAGAGTAAGAATACATAAGAGAAACAGAGTGGTATCTTTATATGATACACAAGTGTATGTTACAAGAATTCCATCAGGCACAGGAGCCTCAGGTTTAAGGCCTCAATGTTAGGCCAAAAAAAAAAAAAAAAAAAAAGGCATGGTAAAGTTTTTACTTTAACATCTAAAATGTCACTTGTCATAAAGGAGGTTGTAAATAGAAATTGTCTTTAGTAAATCATAATTGAAGTTCCCCTCATTTTTCTTCCATTAAGATGCTAAGTTTATGTCAACATGAAGAGAAGGTGGCTCCTCTAGTGAAGTCTGCCAGTCCACAGTGGTATCTTTATATGATACACAAGTGTATGTTACAAGAATTCCATCAGGCACAGGAGCCTCTCAGGTTTAACCTCAATGTGAGACACAAAAAAAAAAAAAAAAAAAAAAGGCATGGTAAAGTTTTTACTTTAACATCTAAAATGTCACTTGTCATAAAGGAGGTTGTAAATAGAAATTGTCTTTAGTAAATCATAATTGAAGTTCCCCTCATTTTTCTTCCATTAAGATGCTAAGTTTATGTCAACATGAAGAGAAGGTGGCTCCTCTAGTGAAGTCTGCCAGTCCACAGTGAAAGCCAGCTGGGGAGATTCCCTGGAGGGTCGATCCATCATTAATTCCATCTTTCTTGAAGAAGGGACGTGGTGGTGGTGGTGGTGGGGGTGCCACATTTCTCCCAACAGTCCAAGCCCTTCCCCCAGGGCCCAGACTTAAAAAAAAAAAAAAAAAAAGCCAGTAACTTTCTAGACACCTGGCTCAGTAAACCTAGAGCCCCCATGGACCAAGGAGTTTGCCGCAGGTCTATGAAGATGGAAAGAGGGCAAAGTTTTCTTTTACATTTTAAACAGAAGTAGCCTGGAAGGCTTCATAACTACCCAAGATAAAAGAAAAAAGAAAAAAATGGAGGCCTCTTCTTTAGTGTGCAAGTCTGTCCAGTTTTTCCTGGCTGGGTTTTCTTGTAGTATGACTGAGGCATCTCAGTGGATGGTGCTTGCGTTGGCCACTGCAATGGCCTCCTGAATTTCTCGTATCACCAGGATCCGGGTCAGCATTTGTCCCATCTGCTCTCTGCTGATAGGCTGGACCGAATACCAGATTGGGCTGTTGGGGGCCACCACTGGCTCAGGTGTTAGGTAAAAGGTGTCGTTCCGGCCTTTTACACTCTGGGGGCTAAAGAACATGTCAGTAAAAGCTAGGTAAACACCATTACAACTTTAACCCTCCCAGCCTGAACTTCCCAGACAGAGGCAATCTGAAAAAGTTGGTAAGGCAGCAGCTCTGGATGTTTAATAGGTAGCACAGTTACTGAATATATCTATCAAACACCACCTACAGACTTCTAGTGAGGGCTGCTATGAATGCCAGTGACAGGTTGTCTCCTTTCTGACCCACCTTTACAAAAGCCAGCCATGATCAATCACAGATGTACTGAGTCCATCTATTTTCCACTTGGAGCCAACCTCACTGCTCAGATAATCTATCTCCAAGTGTTGGCTCACACTGTTATGTATCCATTTTATCCAGGGGAAAGGGGCAGGAGGGAGTGGTTTTACTGGGGATTGAACCCAGAGGTGCTTTACAACTGAACCACATCCCCAGCCATAAAAATTTTATTTTGAAACAGGACTTTTTTCAAAGTTGCTGGGATTATAGATATGTGCCATCATACATGGCTCACATTGTTATCTACAAAGTAACAGTAGTCACCATGCTGGGGCACTTACCTTAATCACCCACTCTGTGGTACTACATTCATACATACTCAGCACACACCATCCTCTAACATTTATTCATCCATTCAAGGTTTACTAAAAGGCTACTGTATGCCAGGTATGCAAAAGATGCAATGTTAAAGAAATAAGTAGAGGGGCTGTGGATGTGGCTCAAGCGGTAGCGTGCTCGCCTGGCATGCGTGGGGCGCTGGGTTCGATCCAGCACTATATAAAAATAAAATAAAGATCTTGTGTCCGATGAAAACTAAAAAATAAATATTAAAAAATTTTCTCTCTTAAAAAAAAGAAAGAAGAAAGAAAAAAAGAAATGAGTAAAGATAGTAATCCCTACCTCATGGAGGTTATAGATAAGAAGGGCAACAACAATTAAAAAATACATACAAAAAATTACACAAATACACAAAAAATGGTACCAGTAGTTAAGTGCTACAGAGAAAACAGATGGAACAGGTAGGGAATTTGGAAATTGTTCCTTGAAAAAGCTATGTTTAAGAATGGAAAAGAGGGACTGGGTTGTGGCTCAGTGCCTAGTACATGTGAGGGACTGGGTTCCATCCTCAGCATTACAAAAAAATAAATACAGGGGCTGGGATTGTGGCTCAGTGTTAGAGTGCTCGCCTAGCACATGTGAGGCGCTGGGTTCATCCTCAGCACCACATAAAAATAAATAAATAAAATAAAAGTATTGTGTCCAACTACAATCAAAAAATAAATATTTAATAAATAAGTAAATAAATAAATAAATAGGGCTGGGGTTGTAGCTCAGTAGGAGAGGGCTTGCCTACCATGTGTGAGGCACTGGGTTCGATTCTCACACCATATATAAATAAATATCCACTGAAAACTAAAATACATAAAATAAAGGTACTGTGTCTGTGTACAACTAAAAAAATATTTAAAAAAACAACAACAGAAAAGAGGTCCAGGGTTGTAGCTCAGTGGCAGAGTGCTTACATAGTACATGTGAGGCACTGGGTTCAATCCTCAGCACCACATAAACAAATAAAGGTATTGTGTACATCCACAACTAAAAAAAAAAAAAAAAACCCCAGAAAATATAGCATAATACCCAAGTGGAAAGGCATTAGTGTAGATTGAGAGCTCAGAGTAGTATCAACATAAGGCTAACAAGGGGGAGTCCTTGTCCACTATTAAGGATTAGTCTGTAAAGTAATGACAAAACACTGAAGGTTTTAATCTAAGTGAGATACTAAGATCCAAAACAAACAAAAATCGTCTGGCATTGCTATGAAAATGACATGCCAAATTGGAGGAGGAAGAAAAAATAAAAGTTAAAGGAAGGAGTCTCCACAAAGTTGACAGTGGCAATGATAAAAGGCCAGGGCCAGGATGATGCAGGACCTTATTTAGTTTGTGATGAAGGTGGCCTCTCTGTAACATATCTTCTCCATAAAAGATGGCTGAGGCAGGAGGAACAGCCTCAACAACTCAGCAAGACCCTGTCTCCAAATAAAATATTAAAAAGGGCTGGGGATGTGGCTCAGTGGTTAAGCACCCCCAGGTTCAATCCTCAGTACCAAAAAAAAAAAAAGACTGTTAGGGTTCAGGAACCCTTTTTATATCAATGTCAAGCATACCACTTTGGGAAAGCCACATAGTTGTTTCTTTATTTAGATTTTTGGAAATGATTTTCCTCTGGGGCTAGAGAATGCCTCTTTCCTTTGATAACATATGCATATAAGTAAGCATGCAAACACACACACATATACATTAGCCAATTTATAAAGCCTCCTCACCATTTGAAGAGGTAGAAATCGTAGAGCTTGATGGGACACCTCAGTGGATTCTCTGGATTTTCTGTCTGTTCTGCATACATGTCATCTGTAACTATAAAACACCCCCCCCCCCCCACCGCCACCACCACCATCACAGACCTGGCATAAGGACTGTCTTAGCTCAGGCCTAGATTAGGAACCACAGGTATTCAGCCATCCTATCTAGGAAATATTAGGTAGGAAGAGGAAAGGAATGAGGCATGAAATAACTAGGAAGGGAATAGGCTATCTTGTCCAGAGCTTCCCTGCTTCTAAGAGAAAAGTTTCTGGCTGGGGAAAAAGGAATGGAAAATTCCTACCCAGTAAAACCACCCTCCACATTTATTACTAGCACAGTAGATACAGGGTAAGGTGCCACCTTTACCTACCTTTCTGGCCAGTCTGATGTATCCCAAGGGCCTTCAGGTACCGGATACTCGTGCTTTTATCCTTGGGATTAGAGGGGTTCTTCTTTGTCTGTCGTAAGACTTTGGAGAAGGCCAGCTTCATGTGCTGGTCAACTGTCTTCAACAGGAAGTACCTGAACCACAAGCAAAAGCAAGGCAGAGGGTGCCAGACACCATGATTTACCCTACACCCATCTGTATTTCAGAGGAGCCCACACTCCCAGATCTGGGTAGGCCCATACCCAAACACTGTGGACAGTGGAGAAGCCACATCGAAATAGATAGCAGAGTTCTGAAAAGGCTGTTAGATTCACTGGTCACCACAAAAAAATGTAGTCAAGTGGGGCTGGAGGCTTTCAGTAGCTCAAGGTTCTCATAAATGTCACAGGAATTCAGAAGTCCTCCTAAAGTTTCTACCCACTTCACCAGGAAGAAACCAGCAGAGGCCAAGTATGGACATTCTAGAAAACTTACTTGGTGTTAAAGAACATGAGGGTGGTCAATAGGGTGGAAGGGGAGTGCGCCCCAAGCTGCTTGCATTCCCATAGCATCTCCTCAGTCACATGGCTGGGCAGAACATAGCCTAGGAGGAACAGAATAATGCTAAAACAAATAGATGGAAGGAGGTACCACAAAGGCACAGGATGGGAGGTGTGAGGTATATGGACCACAGGGACATAAGTCTTAACAACAGAAGTCTCCCTGTGGTGTAGCAAAATAATTTGGAAAGGTTGTTAAAACATAGAGGGTCACAACCTATGTTTCTGAGGTGGAACCCAAAATGAACATTTATTTCTAACAAGTTCCAAGGCAATACTGCTGCTGCTCTGGGAATCACACATTGAGAACCACTACCTCACATGATTACTGTTACTTGACAAATTCCTCTGTAATCCAAGGCTAATATAAGACAAAAGGATTGCCTTCAGGTTCATGAATACAWAAAACTATAAACCAAACATGCATACATGCTCTCTCTTCTCAAAGACAATTTACATTGTATTTTCAAGGTGTCTAAGGCCCAAAGACCTGGTAATATATACCCCTCTTATTATCTATCATTTCTAGGAAGAAAGCCCATATCATCACTTCTCTGGATAAAAAGAACACTGATATTTAAGCAATTTCAAGTTTTCATTAAAAGGATAGGTGTAACTCTTAAGACCCAGGTTCACTGACAAATCTAGAGCTAGGCAGGGCTAAGGCCAATTTAGATATGTGGTGTCCCCCAAAAGCTCATGTGTGAGACAATGTAAGAAAATTTAGAATGAAGTAAAGGGAAGGGAATTTGGAAAATRGAAAGACAGTAGAATAAATTGGGTATTTTATATATATATATATATATATATGTGTGTGTGTGTGTCAAAATACATTCTACTGTCATGTGTAACTAAAAAGAACAAATAGAAATTACAGAACAAACAAAAACCCCMAAAAAACTAAAAAACAAAAGTTTAGAGGTAAATGATTGGGCTATGAGAACCTAATCAGTGCATTGATCCCCTGATAGAGATTAACTGGGTGGTAAATATAGGCAGGCAGGGTATGGCTGGAGGAGGTGGGTCATTGCAGCTGTGGCTTTGGGCTTTATATTTCGTTGTGGTGAGAACTCTATCTGCTCTGTGGTGAGAACTCTTTCCACCCACTTCAACAAGGAAGAAGCCAGCAGAGTCCAAGTGCTTTTTTCCACCACACACTTGTGCCATGATGTTCTGACTTATCTCAGGCCCAGAGGAATAGAGTCAGCCATCTCTGGACTGAGAACTCTGAAATTGTGAGCCCCTAACTAAACTTTACCTCCTCTAATTATTTCTTTCAGGTCTTTTGGTCACAGCTACAAAAATCTGACTAAAACACCAACAGTATGAACAAGAACCCTGGGCAGCCAGGACTGCACTAAAGAAAGATAACTAAGGGTTTTACCATCAAGCTACCTTCATTTGCTCAATTCAACAACTACAAGTGTTTGTGCACTGAGGGTATAGTAGTGTGCAGCAGACACAGCATTTTCCTACAGGGTTTCAGGATTCTCCAGACAGTGAAAGTTACGCTTCCTGGAAGCAGAAAAGGAAGACTCTGCACAATACAGTCCACTGTCTATTCTTCCCACAGGCAGAACTTTTGACCATGTAGTGTGTACTTCTCTCCGGTGCTGTTTTTGTCCACTGTTTGGCTACTTAGTGGTATAGCAACAATGGGAAGCACTTTCTTGCTCTTGGACATATTTGAAGCATCCAAGATGCAGGATAAGCAACACAACACAGCTTCTCTCAGGAAAAGCTATTTCCGTAGGAGTAACTCCTGCCACAGCTTGGTATATTTTTCTCTTCCTTCACTCATCCACATACCTCCTCTAGTGGCATTTCTATAACATTATTTTATTCCCAACAACAAACTTTAAAATTAATTTTATATTCAGGATGCTGAAGCAGGACAATTTGAAGTTCAAGTCCAGCAACCTCAGCAACTGAGGGACCCTTTACAAAAATAAAGCATTAGAAAGGGATAAGGATGTAGCTCAGGATAAAGAGCCCCTGGGTTCAATCCCCAGTACCAATAAATAAATAAACAAATAGATAAATAAAATATACTTTAATGGCTAAGAACCAGGATTCCTGGCTAAGAACAAGGAGACATGTAAAAAAAATTATATAAACCTTATAGATTTGATTCTCAACAGCAAGCATAAAAATGATGTATTTTATCTTTAAAACTTTTTATTTTATCTTTTAAAACTTTAAAACTTCTGCCTACTGAAGGGCACAGACACAATGACCAGTGCAGGAGCAATGAGCATCCCTAACATCCAAAATGTGTATTGAAATACCTTATCCCACTAAAAGCAACCAGTTTCATAGAGAACTGATGGATTTCACAATGGAACAACAAATGTTTGAAAAATGAAATGTTCTGTCAAATCAGAAAGTAAGGAAGTTGCTGGCTATGGCAGTGTACACCTGTAATCATAGCTATTCATGAGGTCAAGGCAGAAGGATCACAAGTTCAAGGCTAGTCAGGGCAAACTGGTGAGACCCTATCTCAAAATAATAAAAAAGAAAAGGCTGGGGATGTACCTCAGTGGTTCAGCACCCCTGGGTTCACACACACACACACACACACACACACAGAGAGAAGAAATGAAGGGAGTAATCAACAACTACTAGAATTAATATAGGTACCAACCTAAAGATAATCCAATTGGCCAAAGATAGAACAGTCTGCACATCAGTAAAAATAACTGCAGTGGATTGAATCATATCAAATTATCAAATATTTAAATGCATGAGTTCACAATGATTCTTTAAAAAAACCTTAATTTTACATTACTGGGAAGTGGGAAAGCTGGTGAACTAACTCATTACTGTGAAAACTGATAAGCAAATAAAGAAAATTTCTAAAGCCTTTATTCTGCTTCACCCACACAATGTGGACTGCTAGCAATCCAGAAATTGGAGTGACAAAGTCTGTGTGTGTGTGTGTGTGTGTGTGTGTGTGTGTAGTACTGAGGGCTGAACCCAAGAACACTACCACTGAGCTTATATGCCTGGCCTTAATTTTTTTTTTTTTTATTATTTAGCATTTACTTATTATTTTGGCATTGGGGATTGAACCCAGGGGCACTCAACCACGGAGCCACATCCGCAGCCCTTTATATTTTTTATTTTGAGACAAGGTCTCACTAATTTATTTAGGGCCTTGCTCACCGGTCTGGACCTTGAAATCCTCCTGCCTCAGCCTTCAGAGCCACTCGGATTACAGGTGTATGTCATGATGCCCAGCTTATTTTAAAAATTTTGAGACAGCATCTTGCTAAATTGCCCAGGCAACTTGTAATCCTCCTGCCCTTGCCTCCTAGTGTAAGCCACCATGTTTGGCTTTCTAGTTGTTTTTAAAAATTATGATAGTGTCCCTGTGGTATGTCAAAAACACTTCTTAACACATTAAAAAAATTTATAGATAGGGTTTTGAGTATAGTTCAGTGGTAGAGCTCTTTCCTAGCATGCATGAGGTCCTGGATTCAATTGCCAAGAACCAACCCTGACCTCCCCCCCAAAAAAACTGAAAATAAATATTTATGGATAGAATGTCTGGAATTTCCTTCAAACTAGCATAGGAAGAAAAGCTCAGSAAATAATGTCAAGAGTTAATAAATGGGGCTGGGGATGTGGCTCAAGCGGTAGCACGCTCGCCTGGCATGCATGCGGCCCGGGTTCGATCCTCAGCACCACATACAAACAAAGATGTTGTGTCCACCGAAAACTAAAAAATAAATATTAATATTTTTTCTCTCCTCCCTCCCTCTCTCTCTAAAAAAAAAAAGAGTTAATAAATGGAATAAGAATTGTAATGCATTCCGCTGTCATGTATTTAAAAAAATAAAATCAATTAAAAAATTGGAAAAAAAAGAGTTAATAAATGGGACAGGCATAGTGGCAGTTTAATGAAGAAAGGGTGTTTCCAGCACCATTTGTTGAAAACACTATCCTTTCTCCATTAAACTGCCTTTCTCCTTTTTGTCAGTTAAATTTACCATACTTGTGTGATTCTATTTCTTAAGTTTCTCATTCTCTCATTCTGTTTAATTAATTTTTGTATGTAGGGGGCAGTGCTAGGAACTGAACTCAGTGGTGCTCTGCCACTGAGCTACATGCCCAATCCTCTTTATTTTTTATTGTGAGACAGGGTCACTAAATTACTCAGGTTGGCCTCAAACTTGTGATCCTCCTACCTCTGCCTCCTGAGTACCTGGGATTACAGACACAAACCACCCCCACCTGGTTTATTTGACTATTATTTACCAAAAACATGCACACAAATGTTTATAGCATCTTTATTCAAAACTGCCAAAACCTGGAAGAAATAAAGAGAACATGTCTCTCAGAAGAATGGATAAACTATGGTTTGTCCACACAATGGAATATTCTATGCTAAAAAGAAAATAAACTATCAAGCCATGAAAAGACTAACTTTAAATGCATATTGATAACTGAAAGAAATAAATCTGAAAAGATTATATATTGAATTATTCCAAATATATGACATTCTAGAAAAGACAAAACTGGCAATAGGAAAAAGATCATTGGTTGTCAGGGACTCAGGGCAAGGAAGGGAAGGAAGGCAGGGTAGAATGCACAGGCAGATAACAGGGATTTTATTTTTTTGGGTGTGTGTATGGGGGGGCGGGGTACCAGGTTTGAACCCAGAGGTGTTTAACCTCTGACCCATATTCTCAGCCCTTTTTTAGATTTTATTTAGAGATAGGGTCTCACTGAGCTGCTTAGGGCCTCACTAAGTTGCTGAGGCTGGCTTTATTTAACCTGCAATCCTTAGGCTTAGGCACCCGAGCTGCTGGAATTACAGGCCTGTGCGACCACAACCAGCAAGAGAAGGGATTTAAGACAGGGAAACATTCTGTATTGATACTATAGTAGTAGATTCATGCTTTCAGACATTTATGAAAACCCACAGCACTACAACAATGAGTAAGCCCTAATATAAACTATAAACTTTAGATAATAATAATGTATCGATATTAGTTCAAATTTTAACAAATGTACCACGCTAATGTAACACTATTAATATAGGGGAAATTATATGAGGGTGAGCCCGCACAGAGAAAGTTTCTATACTGTTTTCTAAAATTCTTCTGGACATCTAAAACAGCTCTAAAAAATTATGGATCCAGGGAACAACAGGACACCTCTAAGGGCCCTGCAACTCCAGATTGAGAGGACCCTAAAGAACAAGAAGCCAACCAGTATACGTTCTGCAAAGAGGATGGTCACTGGCAAAGGCCATGTTCCAAAGAAAGCTACGTGTGGTCAGCAAGAACTCAATCCATCCTGGCAGATGGCACACTGGTAGAGGAAGGCTGAAGAACCAATAGGCTTTTCAAAAGTTCCCAAGAGCTATCCTTGAGGAATCACAGCTGCCTCTTAAGAGTAGATGTCAATTTTGACCAAGTTGGTCTTTTTTTTTWAAATTTTTACCCAGTGCTTCACATGTGCAACACAAGTACTCTACCACTGAGCCACAACCCTAGCCCCCAAGTTGGTCTTAAACACCTGGCAGGAGAGCAATTTATGTGGACTTTTTTGGGGGGAGGTACTGGCAATTGAACCCAGAGGATCTTAATCACTAAACACATCCCCCAGTCCTTTTTATATTTTATTTAGAGACGGTCTTGCTGAGTTGCTTATGGTCTCTCTAAATTGCTGAGGCTGGTTTTAGTCCAGCAATCCTCAGCACTACATAAAAATAAATAAATAAAGGTATTGTGAACTCATGATCCTCATTGCCCCGCCTCCTTAAGTAGCTATTACAGGCACATGGTACCATACGCAGCATAGGTGGACATTTAAAAGGCAAGACAACTTATTATTTTTTTTAATCTAACTTCAGATGTACACTTGTGTCAGCCCTACCAAAAGTAAAGCTGGAGGCTATAAAGGAAGAGTGGGAGTGCCTAAGAATAACTACTAAAGTACTCTAGAGTTATAAGTTTGTTCTGAGTCAATTTGAGCCTGATCTGATAGACCCACAAGTCTTCCTAATTTCCTACAAAGATAACTTAGATCTGTTTATCACTGATAGTATTATCTAGCCCCGATATTTATTCCTCAGATTAGTTTAAAAGATGCAATGTGGCACACAAAAGGCCTAACTAACTTTGCCAGTAGAGTCCTAAATGACACAGTTAAAGGGATGCCTCTACTGAACATAGAGGTAATACTAATAAGAAAGCTATTTTACAGAAATAAGATGAAATTAAATCTTTTAACTACATCTCAAATGGATACCATTATAAAAACTAAATATTGAATATATTTCTAATAACTCTACTCAAATGCTTTAAATGGCCTCCTCACAAATCAATGGCATGTTGGATCCCACCTTAAGCTTTTGCTTAAGGTTTTAATGAGTTACTGTCTTCATGGTTTTCAGAAACTGGCTGAAATACTGATTGCTTTCGTGTTAACTGTTTGCAAAACAAGTAAAGCATTGCTGTCTTGTTTACTGTTGTCCTAACATGATTCCTGCCCAGACCCACCAAATGCCAGCATGGACCTCTAGGTTGCTCTGATGCTAAATACCCTCAATTATCCATGCCCCACCTGATAGAGAACAAGAACTTCAGGTCAATTCCACACAACTTTACCCTCTCTCAGTAGGAAGCAGCTTGGAGATGTCACACCCATTTTTCCATAGAAATGGAATGTAGAAATTGACAGTGGGGAAATGTAAAAATGGTCTACTTTGTGCTTTGAATACAGTTCTTGCTGCTCTGTCACTGCAACTTATTTTTTAAACCAGACATGTTTCTTTTTCTTCTTCTCCCTCTCTCCCTCCCCCTCTCTAATCTGAGGCAAGGGAAAGGATTACCATTCTTCCCCATCCCAGATAGTAATCTGTCCTTGAGCATAGACCCACCACAGGAGAGAAGTAATTCAGATTTCAGGGATGGCACCAGAAGATCTAAGAAATGACTATCTCCCAAATTAACAAGCAAATCACAACTCCCTATGTAGAACATATGAAATGTAGTCTTTAATTCACCTCTTTAAAAACTGTTACTGGGGGGGCTGGGGATGTGGCTCAAGCGGTAGCGCGCTCGCCTGCCATGCGTGCGGCCCGGGTTCGATCCTCAGCACCACATACCAACAAAGATGTTGTGTCCGTCGAAAACTAAAAAATAAATATTAAAAATTCTCTCTCTCTCTCTCTGTCCTCTCCTCTCTCACTCTCTCTTTAAAAAAAATAAAAATAAAAAAATAAAAACTGTTACTGGGCTGGGGTTGTGGCTCAGTAGTAGAGTGCTCGCCTAGCATGTGTGAGGCCCTGGGTTTGATCTTCAGCACCCCATAAAAATAAATAAAATAAAGATATTGTGCCCAGCTAAAAAATAAATATTAAAAAATAAACCTGGGGCTGGGGATGTGGCTCAAGCGGTAGCGCGCTCGCCTGGCATGCGTGCGGCCCGGGTTCGATTCTCAGCACCACATACAAACAAAGATGTTGTGTCTGCCAATAACTAAAAAAAAAAATAAATAAAATATATTAAAAAAAAAGGGGGGGGATATACTTTAAAAAAATAAAAAAATAAAAAATAAACCTGTTACCCTTAATTGCCAGAATTACAGCCTCTGAGACAGGCATCCCCTGTTCCATCTTTGCTGGCAAAGTAATAGAACTTTTTCTCAAAAATAAATAAATAAATATTTATTTATAAGATTATGTTCTACAGCTGAAATGGTTCTTAAAATTTTTGAGTAGGGGGTGCAGTTGTGCTGGGATCAAAACCAGGGCCTTCGCATGATAGGTAAGTGTTCTGCCATTGAGCGCTATTCCCAGCACTATTCCCAGCCCCTTTCAATTCTCTTTCTCGCTTGTGTCCTTTGTGTGTGTGTGTGTGTGTGTGTGTGTGTGTGTGTGGTACTAGGGATTGAACCCAGAGGCACTTTACCTCTGAGCTACATCCCCAACCCAGCCCTTTTTATTCTGAGACAGGGTCTAAGTTGCTCAGGTTGGCCTCAAACATGCAGTCCTCCTGTCAGACTCCTGAGTTTCTAGGATTACAAGAATATGCCACCATACCCAGCTATGTCTTGAGATAGGGTATCACTATGTTGTCCAGGCTGACCTGAACTCCTGGGCTCAAGTAATCCTCTCCAGTAGCTGGGACTATAGGCATGAGCTATTGCACCCAGCTATGATTCTGACTTTAATAATAACACCTCCCACCCCCATTCTGGAGAATAAGCTCAGGAGCATTTTACCACTGAACTAGATCCTCAGACATTTTTATTTTTTATTTTGAGACAGGTTTCACTAAGTTGCCATACTGAACTCAAACTTGCCATCTTCCTGCACTAGCTTCCTGAGTAGCTGGAATTTTAGGCATGTACCACCACACCTGGTCAATCAATAAATTTTAATAGAAAAATAAAAATAAAAAACATAGAAACCACTCCACTAGTTTCGCATGTCTCTGGGTCCTTGCCACACTGGGACTAACAGAATTCTCTGAAGAGCAATGCCCCTTCTGATATCAGGCAAAGCAGCACCAAGGCCAATACCGTTGCCTGGGATTTATAAGTCCCATGGCCCCTTACTATAATCATAGCCAGCCACAGAAACTGCCTTTTTTTTTATTCCTTCCAGGTACTGGTGATTGAACACTTAACCACTAAGCCACATCCTCAGCCCTTTTTATTTCTTATTTGASACAGGGTCTCACTAAGTTGCTAGGGTCTCACTAAATTACTGAGGCTAATCTCAAAACTTACAATCTTTCTGCCTCGGCCTCCAGAGTTGATGGGATTATATGAGTGTGCCACCACATTTGGTGCAACACAGCCTATGTTTTAAAATTCAAATGGGAAAAGGCTCCAAAGACTTACCAAGTGGAGTGACCCGAGGCTGAACATCCTTCAGAACTTCGTGGAGCCACTCGGTGAATCGAACATAATAAAGATCGGAGAAAATGTCATCTACCCTTCCATTTTCAAAAAGATACTAAAAAGTAAAACAATCAATGAAAGTTATTCGTTGTTTCTTGAATAAACTTTTGGGAGAAATAAACATTTTTCCACTAGCACCACTACCTCTCTCTACCACATCAAAACTGTCCAGTCTATCTAACAGTGTAATCCAAATCTTGTGAACTGATTCCCACAACATTATAGAGTTAGATCAATGATGATTTTCTGAATGTTATTTTACCTAAGCAAGGCATMGTCTGTGGTAACAAAATGATGAATAAGCTCTGAGGACAGCCCCTTACTAGTATATTATTTAAATAATAGATATATAGCTTTTAACTTGGAGCTCAGTTTTCTTGTCTATAAATGGAGATGACTATACCTTTCTTTTTCTTTTTTTTTTAAATGTATTTATTTTTTTTAGTTGTAGGTGGACACGATATCTTTGTTTTATTTTTATGTGGTGCTGAGAATTGAACCCAGGGCCTCACACATGCTAGGTGARCACTTGAGCCACATCCCCAACCCGAGGACTGGGTATAGCATAAGTGAAGAGATCATGTAATGTTATTCACATGGTAGCTGGGTTAGAGCCAGAAAGAAACAGGAACAAAGTGGGAGGCAGGCTTTTCTCAGGACCAGGCACCAAATTCCCAAACAAGTAAGTCCTACTCAATCATATTATGAATTCTCCAAAAGAATTCAAATACTAAAAAATGCTTCCCAAACTGCCAATCTGAGCTCCTATTTTATGCTTCACATTATGTGTCCTAAAAGTCTAACAATATTCACATACAATTCTAATCAGACTTCTTCAAATAATTGCTTTGTGTTAACATAGTATTAATGTGAAAAGCTATGTTAGCACCAGACTTTGTTCTAAATAAGTTACTTTTTAATAAAAACAATGTTCATTTTAACAGAAAAGTGTGAAATGCTTTGTGATTAAAAAAAAAAAAAAGCTACTAAGGTAATAACCAAATAATTTAATAGAAGTTTTGCTAGATGGTAGGATTTTAGATGTTTGCTCATTTTATGGTCTAAAGTGAACATTTAGGTCTTTTTTTCCTTTTTCTTCTTTATTTTCTTTTGTGATGCTATGCTGGGAAGGAAACTCAGGGCCTGGTGCATGCTAGCCAAATGCTCTAGATCACTAATATTTAGGTCTTCGCAATTAAAACAATTTATTTTAAAACTCATTATATAGCTAAAAAAGAATTTATTTTCACTTCTAGTCATTTTACTAAACTTGACTAATCAGCAAACACGAAATGGGAACAGAGCTTAAAAATACTTCTATGTAGAGGTGCTTCCTACCTTTTGAATACACAAGAAAATATAGTAGAGCACATCCGGATCATAGGGTTCACCATCTCCATTTCGAGCTTCCCGTGTCATTAGACAGAGGCCATAATTCAACTCAGCCACAGCAGAGGAGATGAGATCTTCCTGGAATCGTAGCAATTGGCGCCCTATAACACAAGTCTCAAAGGTGAGTGGGAGTCTGGGTATAGATGTCTCTTTATTGGGTACTCATTTTCCTGAAAGGAGGGCTCAGAGAATCAGGTTGCTGGTACAGGAATGTTCATTTCTATTTATGATCAAAACCGGCCTACTAAGGCAGTAATCATATATTACATCAAGGGTTTCTTTCTTATAACCTGCCTCATCTCACATATATCCCCCAAATTATTACTAGGATCAAGAAGTAAAAGCAGGGGGAAAAAAAACAGAATCCACTCTGTAACATGGGAAAGTATATAAATCTAATGGCAAAGAAGGGCATTGAAAACACTCACTGGGCTCATGTTTTTTCCTAAAAGTCACTTTGCTCTGGTCTGCTACATTGACTCTAGAAAGCCATGTATATAAAAATGCTTGGTTTTAGGCAAACCTCACAAATCATGATCATCTGTACAGGGTCAGGCTTGCTTGCTGATAGTCACGATGCAGCATACTATTTAAGAGGGTGCTCTCTACAGAGCCAGATTACTATAGTCCTGTTATTTAGATTATAGACATCTCCCATCTTCCCCAAACACTCACTCCCAATGGGTGCCAATCTATTCTGAGCATCCTTTTCTAGTTCAGCATTCTTGGTCTGGGCCCAGCTTTTCCATACTTCAAGCCCTTCTTCTGGTTTCAAAGAATTTGGAAGCAGAAGTTCTGGGGAAGGCTGTGGCTGTGACTGTGGTTCAACTTCAGCAACCTGGACAGTTTGAGCCTATGAGAGGAAAACCATCAGAATGTGTTAATACTATTGTACATTAGGTCCTTTAGCAAATTTCCAAGAAAATATTAAATTCATTTAACTAAAAAAAAAAATCTCTTTGCCAGGCACAGTGGCACATGCCTATAATCCCAGAGACAAGAAACTAAGATAGGAGAATTGCAAGTTCGAAGCCAGCCTCAGTAATTTAGCAAGACCCTGTCTCAAGATATAAAATAAAAGGACTGAGGATGTAACTCAATGATAAAGCATTCCTGGGTTCAATTCCTCATACCAAAAGAACCCAACAAATAAACAACAACAACAAAAAACCCTCTATTCTTATTGTTCTACCTTGAAGTAGCTCTGGGTACTTATTCTTGGGACAGCAAAGGCAACTGAAAAAGGCTTCTCAGTACTTTATTTAAAAACAACAATACCCTGGCTAACCCTAGAATATGTCTCTGAAACCTAGGTATCAATACTTCTAAAACTACAAATAAAAAGTTAATTCCCTATCCAGAGACTGAGGCAGGAGAATTCCTAGTTCAAGGCCAGTCCGGGAAATTTAATAAGACCTGTCTCAAAATTAAAAAAAAAAAAAAAATTTTTTTTGAAGGGTTGGGATACAGAATGCCCCTGGATTCAGTACCAGGATGGACAAGGGAATGGAGGGAGCACATTCTGATTGAAAAAATCTGGGATGTGACTCAAGATTGTGCCTTTCTAACAAATTTCCAATTAGAATCAAGGTTGCTACTCTGCAGATCTTACTTGCAGTAGCAAATGTGCCAAGTACTGAGGCTTAAACTTAGTTGCATCTTAAAATCCTCAGGACTACATTTTGAGAGTATCTACAACTGTGTCTTATTCCAACAGATTGAACTTTATAGTTGTTGTAAGGTGAAGGCATGATGTTAACAATTTTTTTTTTCCTTTTTTTTGGTGATGCTGGGGCTTGAACCCAAAACCTTGCACTTGCTATGCAAGGGCTCTACTCCTGAACTATATCCCCAATATCCTCCTTTTATTTTTTCATTTTGAGACAGTCTTACTAAGTTGCTCAGGCCAACCTCAAACTTATGACTCTCCTACCTCAGATGGGATTAAAGGCATGCACTACCACACTGGGCCTCTGGCATTGTTTGTTCCTCTTTTTTTTTTTTTTTAACAGGATCTTGCCTAGTTGCTAAGGCTGGCCTCAAACTTTCAACACTCCTGCCTCAGCCTCCTCAGTTGCTGTGATAATAGGTGTACACCACTAAGCAAGGACTACTATCAAGAAACACAAWGAATTAGTGGTGTTGTCTCCTCTGCCATTGTAAGATATAAGACAGGACAATTGTTACAGTTTTTCTAGCTATAAGGTTCTAATTTTTCTATGCTTCTTCTGAAATTAAGATTCTCACACTCATAAGGACATAATCCATTTTATAAAAACAGGAGACAATATTACACCTTCTTCCTTTCAAAGGAAGAATGGCCCCATCATCAATGGTCTGACAGCCAAGCCACATGGAAAAGAGACGGAGTATCAGTCTCAGTCACAATCCCCAAAAGGTTAGATGGACACAAAGATGCCAAGTACAGGTTTCTGTTTCTGGTTTTTTGCGGGGAGGGTAACTCAGGGGACTCAACCACTGAGCCACATCCCCAGCCCTATTTTGTATTTTATTTAGAGACAGGGTCTCCCTGAGTTGCTTAGTGCCTCGCCATTGCCGAAACTGGCTTTGAACTCTTGATCCTCCTGCCTCAGCCTCCTGAGCAACTGGGATTACAGGTGTACACCACTGCGTTGGGCACAAGTGTAAGTTCTTGGGTCTCATACATACTATACCTCTGTTTTCTGATCAAATCCCCTTGAGTTCAGAAATTTTATGCCACAATCAACACCTCCTTACTCAAAGGGCTGAGGAATATGAAAAAATCATTCCAACTGAAGGCAAAAATAGTTTCTACATGACACAAATTTGCTTACCAACAAATAAAATTCTATTAGCTTTGATAAGATACTTTTAAATGGGGAAATAGAGCAATACAGTTTTTGGTGTTATGTATCAAGCCTCAAGAAAACGTCCATGTTTTGACCTGGAACTCTATCCTAAGGAAATCACCAATATTTTATGTATCAAGATGCATAAGGGGGTTGGGGCTGTGGCTCAGCGGTAGTGCACTTGCCTGGCATGTGTGAGGCACTGGGTTCAATCCTCAGCACCACATATAAACAAATACATAAAATAAAGATGTATCAACAATTTAACAACAACAACAAAAAAAGATGCATAAGATGGCTAGGCATGGTGGCACACACCTGTAATCCTAGAGACTTGGGAGGCTTGAGGCAGGAGGATCACAAGTTCAAAGCCAGCCTCAACAACTTAGTGAGACCTTATCTCAAAATAAAAAATAAAGCTGCCCAAGATGAAGCTGAATATCTCCTTCCAGCTACTGGCTGCCAGAAACTCATTGAAGTGGATGATGAATGCAAACTTTGTACTTATCATGAGAAGTGTACTGCCACAGAAGTTGCTGCTGATGCTCTGGGTGAAGAATAGAAGGGTTATGTGGTCCTAATCAGTGGCAGGTACCACAAACAAGGTTTCCTCATGAAACACAGTGTTGTGACCCACGGCTGTTTGCCTGCTACTGAATAAGAGGCATTCCTGTTATAGACCAAGGTGAACTGGAGAGAGGAAGCACAAATCTGTTTGAGGTTGCACTGTGAATGCCAATCTGAGCATTCTCAACTTGGTTATTGTAAAAAAAAAAAAAAATTGAGAGAAGGATATTCCTAGACTTACGGATACTACTGTACCTCATAGGCTGGGACACAAAAGAGCTAGCAGAATCTGCAAACTTTTCAATCTCTCTAAGGAAAATGATGACTGCCAATGTGTTGTCAGAAAACCTTTAAACAAAGAAGGTAAAAAAACCCAGGACCGAAGCACCAAAGAAGATTCAGTGTCTCCTTATTCCATGTGTCCTGCAACACAAGCGCCCATGTATTGCTCTGAAGAAACAGTGTACTAAGAAAAATAAGGAACAGGTAGAATATGCCAAATTTTTGGCCAAGAGAACGAAAGAGGCCGAAGAAAAGCGCCAGGAACAGACTGCCAAGAGATGTGGACTGTCCTCTCTGCAAGCTTCTACTTCTGAGACTAGTCAAAAATAAGAGTTTTTAARAGTAGCAAATAAGATCAGACCTTCAAAAATAAATAACTAAAACATAAAAAGGGATGGGGATGTGGCTCAGTGGTAAAGTGCCCTGGGTTCAATCCCCAGTATCCAGAAAAAGAAMAGAAAAAATGATGAATTGCCTTCTAATCAAGGTGTACATCTGATACTAAAAAGCTGTTTGCATTAAAGAAAAATCTAAATCATAAATTAATGTGAGCGGGCTGGCGTTATGGCTCAGTGTTAGATCAAGTGCCTAACATATGTGAGGCACTGGGTTCGATTCTTAGCACCATATACAAATAAATAAAAATAAAGGTCCATCAACAACTAAAAAAATATTTTAAAAAAATTAACGAGAGGGTCCAACAAAAGGGACCATTAGGCAAATTATACTATATCCATATAAATGGACTACAAAGCAGACATTAAACATGTTAACTAAGACTACATGGGGCTGGGGTTATGGCTCAGCAGTAGAACACTTGCCTCACACGTGCAAGGTCCTGGGTTCAATCTTCAGCACCACATAAAAATAAATAAAATAGGGCTGGGGATGTGGCTCAAGCGGTAGAGCGCTCGCCTGGCATGCGTGCGACCCGGGTTCGATCCTCAGCACCACATACCAACAAAGATGTTGTGTCCGCCGAGAACTAAAAAATAAATATTAAAAATTCTCTCTCTCTCTCTCCTCTCTCACTCTCTCTTTAAAAAAAAAAAAAAAAAAAAAAGATGACCAGGTCTAAATTTAAATAAATAAATAAATAAATAAAATAAAATAAAGTCATATATATTTTAAAAAAATGTCTGCTGGTCTTCAAGGAATAAATTTATAAAAAATTTATAAATAAAATTATAGAAAAAAGGCTATAAATAAATTTATTTTACTTACATAATTAAGAAAAAAGAAACAAGACCCAGAAGTATAGAATGAGTATACAAACAACCATGTAAATAAGCCTGATTATCCTTTATACTCGAACCATAAAAGAATGAGGAACAGGGCTGGGGATGTGGCTCAAGCGGTAGCGCGCTCGCCTGGCATGCGTGCAGCCCGGGTTCAATCCTCAGCACCACATACAAACAAACAAAGATGTTGTGTCTGCCGAAAACTAAAAAAAGAAAATAAATAAATATTAAAATTCTCTCTCCCCCTACTCTTTAAAAAAAAAAAAAAGAATGAGGAATATATGAAAAATGACAAAATACTTTCTATTTTCTCGCATTTCTAAAATGGAAAAAAAAATTTCATTATCCTCCCCCCCACCAAGAACTGTGATGGTTTTACATAAACAGACCAGAAAGGCAGGTGTCTAAATAAACAGACAGGAAAGTGTCTAAAATCTAAATATAAATAGGCAGTAAGTGTGGTGGTATATGCCTGTAAATCCAGTTATTCAGGAGGCTGAGGCAGGAGGATCATTTGAGCCAGGAGTTTAGTTTGGATAGTATAACAAGACTTGACCTCAATTAAAAAAAAAAAAAAAGGTAGAAATAATAACCTTTACATAATGTTAGGTCCATACTATTAATGTCTACATGGGTTTCTAATCAAGGTATACATCTGATGCTTAATAAAACAGATTTTGGGGTTGGGGCTGTAGCTCAGTGGTAGAGCGCTCTACCACTGAGCCACAACCCCAGCCCCAAAATACCCCAGTTTTATATATTTGATCAATTCAACAAACATGTATGCAAAGTTTTGTCTTAGGCTCAAGAGTACAGAAATGCATTAAACCACAGCCTGGGGCAAAGAATTGACTGACTCTGTAGTGATTTGAACAAAAACCCTAGTATGCGTTTTTCTTGACTCCAGTGGCTATTCTAGAAGTCACTAAGAAAACCTTTGCTCCAAAACATGTGAGTACCTGKAATCCCAGCAGTTTAGGAGGATGAGGCAGGAGGATTACAAGTTTAAGACCAGACTTAGAACCTTAGGAAGGCCCTGTCTCAAAAGTAAAAACAAATAAAAAGGGCTGAGGCTGGTAAAGTGCCCCTGGGTTCAATACCCAGTATCAAAGATGGGATAGGGTGGGAAGGGGCATGACGACAAATGGGCCCATTTTCTAGCCACAAGATGTCACTGCTCACCCAGACAAGAACAGATTCAGACAGGAGTCAATAAGAAAACTGAAGCTGAGCACAGAGGCTTAATTAATGGAGAAGCTGAGGCAGAAAGATCACTTTATATCCAGGAGTTCCATGCCAGTCTGGGCATCAGTGATTCTCTATTTTGGGGGGAAAAAAAAAATGATGGGAAACAAGTAGAGCCCTCTTGTGCAGATAATACTTTTAAGAACTCCTGAGAAAAAAAGAATAAAGCAGAGAAATGGAGCAACAGATAGAGGTGGATATCAGATCAAAAGAAAGTTTTACCATAAATCTGGTTTTAAGAACAGAAAATATGAAAGCTTTCATAAAAGGTTATTGCCCTCCTCAATCCAAGGCAGCAGAGAGCACAACACTGTTACCAGCTCTCCTTAGGATTCAATTCATATAACATATCTATTTTCTCCTTGCGTTCTAAATGATCCTAAGGTAAAGGAGCCTGTGTTGTTAACTTTATTCCCCAACACACAGCCCAAAGCCTGATAAGAAAAGGAGAGGCTTATTTGTGATCTATACAAACACACTCACCTTTCCCTTGTGATGGGTATTCTCAGTTTTTCTGATAATAAAACCTGACATAAATTCCTGTAAGATTGCTAAAAGAGAGACTCTGAAGAACACTAAACTCCAGAAAAGAGCTTCTCATACTAGAAGGCCTAGACAGATAAATTACAGAGAACAATAAGCTCCAAAGAAAGCCTCACCTGCAATTGAACCATTAGGTTAAAGAAAGCTTTATGAACAAAAAGCTGAGCAGAGCTGCATTACAAATCTTCTGATTCTATATACCTCTGCTTGATTGCTCGTCACATTATCCAGAAATTTCAGATTTCGTACCACAGATCAGATCTAATCCAACTCTTCACTTTGAAAAGACATCACTCCCCTTCCTCTATCCTAACTCCTCTCTCATGGTTCCCCTTTTATGTTGCCTTTGGCAATGTCCTTTTGGTTCATCTCTGTATTTATGATGTTCCATTCTTCTTACAGCTTAAATGCTGTAAATTATTTTCTAAAGACACCACTGTTTACTTTTTTTTTTTTTTTGGCAGTATTAGGGATTGAATGGGTGATTGAAAGCTACACCTTTAGCCTTTTTGTCTTCAGACACGGTCTCCCTAAATTCCTCAGTCTGAACTTGTGATCCTTCTGTTTCAGCCCCTCCTGAGTAGCTCTGTTAACTTTTAACCTAGAATTTCTGAATTCCCAATTTGTTTATGTATCATGCTGTCATTCTTAATTACGCTGCCTTATAAATAATTCAAAAGAAAAGAAATCATGAATTCCTTTTTTTTTTTGGTGGTACTGGGGATCAAACTCAGGGCCTTATACTTCTAGGCAAGCACACTCAAGCACTTTCCCACTAAACTACATCACCAGCCCTTTTTCCCAAAAATATTGAGACAAGAACTCAGTAAATTGCCTGTCTGACCCTGATCTTGTGATCCTTCTTCCTCAGTCTCTGAGTAGCTGGGATTAAAAGCATGCACCAGTGCTCCAGGCTTGCAAATTGCAACTTCTTACTCTCACAACTAGACTCAGTTAAACAAGGACCATCTCAAACTGGGGTTGTGGCTCAGTGGTACAGCACTCACCTAGCACATGTGAGGTACTGGGTTCGATCCCCAGCACTACTCAAAAATAARTAAATAAGTAAAAATAAAGGTGTTGTGTCCATCTACACTTAAAAACTTTTTTTTTTTAAAAAGACCATCTCTTTCTACTTCTAGGCCTGACAGCCAGGTATTTATTAAGTCATCCAAGATGATACAATGTTTTCTCCATGAAACAAACTAAACTGGTCAGCCTTTACTTAATTAGTTGCTTAGTTTGATTAGTAATTTATGGTCTGAGTTTCTGAGTGTAGTCCTTCATGTAACTTGATTGTGCCAGCTTCTTCACATGCATTCCCAGAAGCCTATGCCCACTGAGACACGCTACTTTCAGCAGTCCCATAAGACCAGAGGTTCTGTATGCTATTCTAAAAGTCTACTAGAAAAGGGTCAAGAAAGCTTACTAATAGCCTAAACAGATTAATCTATTCACACCTCTGAGCTATTCCTGAGATTAATAATTAGAAACAATAAGAGATACACAATTTTAAAGTTGAAATTTCAACAGTTTTTGAGAACTTTTCTGCAATCCAAAAATTTTGAAGTAATTGGACATGGGCATGTACACCTATAATCCCAGCAACTCAGGAAGCTGAGGCAAGAGGATTCCAAGTTTGAGGCCATCCCAGGCAACTTAGCAAGACCCTGTCTTTAAAAAAATAAAAATAAAAAGGACTGAGGATGTAGCTCAGTGGTAGAGAGCCCCTGGGTTCAAGGGTTTAAGCCTCAATACTACAAAAATAAATAAATAAATAAAATAAATAAATGAAATATAGAAATAAAAAGTCTGGGGATGTAGCTCAGTGGTAAAGCACTCCAGGTTCAAAAACCAGAATTGGAGGAGGGAGTGAAAAAAAAGTTTTCAACATAGCTGCCATGTCAGAAAATCCAATTAACCAAGGCTTATCTTGACTATTTTCAAGCAAGATAAAAATATGCTTGTGAGGTACCACTCTATAGGTAACTTACTCAAGGCTCCCAAAGGTGTTAACTTTTAACAGGCTTATTAGGAGGTATTTTTTTTTTATCTTCTAACTTACCTACACTGATTATAGACAATAATCAGAGAAGGTTCATAGCCTTTCCACCATGATGAGTTTACAAGCTATGTGCTAAACTATAAGGGTTTCACTAGAGTTGTTCACTTGTGATGCAAAGTAACAGCACATGGAAGGCAAACAATCTTTGGGGTATCCTATTTATCCCTACCTCTAAGCTTATTCTTCCTAAGAGAATACAAAAGAAGTGTTCCAGGCATTCAACACTTAAATCTTTAAAATTACAAAGTAGTTACTGATCATTTTGAACCATCAGGTGGTTAGAAGCTACAATCTGTTTTATAGTCTAATCAGCTGCTTCTCTTCCTTCCTCAAAATGTTAAATACTCTTACCACTATAAGACTAACATTTTGGCAGAAAACAAGCTTGACACTGCAGGCAAGTTCTGTGTTTCACAGGTCCCCGAGGAAGCAGGGTGCCCATGCCCTAAAGGTAAGTCTCACTTACTGAACAAGTAACCTGGAGCTGTTGCTGCTGTTGCTGTGGTGGTGGTGGCGTCTGTTCTTGGGGAGTTTGTTGCTGCGGCTGCTGTTGGGGGTCCCATATATGAACAGTCTGAGCTGTATTCTGGTACGTGCCTGCCACGGCCTGCACAGCCACTGGAATGTGGATGTTGCCATTCATGAACTGTGCTGGAAAGAGAGAGTTTGCAAGGGTCTGCACTACCTCTTCATGGGAGTTTTTCACTACAGACGTGGTGCCCACCATCTTCTCCTTGTCATCCTCCAGCTTTACAGCTGCCAGGGCTGTGGGTGAGCCACTGACATGAACTGCGTTGTAGGCTTCCTGGGGAATGGCAATGTGGGTAATGCTCTGCTGCTGAGGGTCCCCCCGGGGCTGGGCAGAATAAACAGGGATGGTCCAAGTTTCTCCTGTAGGGCTAGTAATGGTCCCAGTGGCACTGTACAGGTGGGCACTGTCTACTGTCAGTAAGTCTGGCCTCAAAGACACATAACTCTGCTGCTGGCCCTGTGGTATGGCCAGCACGGTGGCCACCGGCTGCCCTGAGATGGCGTAGGACACAGTGATGGGCATGTCCACTTTGCGTTTCTTCACAGGCTGGAGGACACTGGCCGTGCCAACCCGCCGCTCCCCTTCCCGAGGTGAGCCCTGCTGGGATGGTGGTGGGGAAAGGGCACCCACGGTCTGGATTTGAATCTGCTGACCCCCAGCAAGAGACTGGCCAGCCACAAGCTGAGCCTGGATTTGCTGATGTGGGATGTGCTCTTCCGGGATTTCTGTAGTCTGGATCTGCTGGGCCGCCTGCACGTGCTGCACCTGGATCTGGGCTGCTTGTAGCTGCGAGGGGCTGGGACTTTGTAGAGACGGGGTCTGGATAGAAGGGGCTGCTGACTGCGGTGCCTGGCCCTGGATCTGCACCTGGACCTGGATGGGCTGCTCGGCAGGCTGGTGAACGGTGAGCTGCGGGGAGAGCTGCTGAGCCGAGACCTGCTGCGGAGACTGCTGTACCTGCACCTGTACCTGCAGCAACAAGATTCACCAGTGAGTGAGCCAGACAATATTGAGAATCCAGCCCCCCGGGAAAACAAAAATCTCAGATAGGGGCCCTGTGTGATATGAAAGGGGGTGGGGGTGCAGCCCAGACAAAGCTTCTAAGGATGCCACAATCCCCCAAAATGTTCTTCAGCATCACATTGCATTCAGAGAGATACCTACCTTAGAGAGCAAGTCAGTCAGTCAATTGGGTATAAGAAAAAAATTAATCAGAAATTTTGCTAATTTTTAAGTTTATTTGAAAATGCAACCCCTTTGCTTTTTGTATATCAATACAGTGGTACAAGTATATAATTTATGAATATATGATTTAGAAATATTTTATCTCTGGAGCAAGTGACAAAAAGAGTGGGGTCACCTATTCTACGAGGCCAGAAAAAACAAACACAACCCATTCCCAACTGCTTAACTCAGGATCAAACCTATTTCCTATTATGAACAAGTAGAAAATATAACAGGGACAAAGTTCTTGCAATCTCCTCTGGAGTAATTTCCAAATTTGCTATTTTAAGTTCAAGCACTGTTGCATGTGTCTTTAGACTACTCAAGATACTCTTGTTAATGGAGAAGTCATTTAAAAATACTAGTAATACTCCAAAGAATCCAGATAATTTATTCTAAACAAGATTACTATATGCTAGAAACACATTTGGGTAACAATGTAGCTTGTGTCTTTTTACTGTTATTTCAGCATACAAAATAGCAGGAAAAGATGCTAATTATACATACTATGCAATTAAAAAAAAAACACAAAAAAACCTTTCCCTAACTACAGGTAGAAATTAGGAAGATAGAAAACAAGGGAAAAGAAAATAAAACAAAACAAAACAAAAGACAGATATTAAGAAAGCAGATGAGGTTGTAAATCAATCTAATAACAGAAAGATACACATGACACAAGGTAACAAGTATGATGCTGGGATAACTGGATATCCACATGCAAAGAATGAAGTTAAACCTCTTCCTCATATCATGAACAAAAAAATGGAAAAGAATGTGAATAGAGGGGCTGGGGATGTGGCTCAAGCGGTAGCGCGCTCGCCTG